TTTATGCTGACTTCAAAGCACTTATGAAACCGATAGAAAATACCAAACATAATACTGAATGTAGTTTTACATACAAAACTCAAGAACATATTCCTTGTGGGTTTGGATATATAGTTGTAAGGTATGATGGGAAAACAAACCCGTCCGTGATTTACAGAGGTCCCGATGCAGCGTGAAAGTTCCTAGAATACCTACAAAATGAAGAGAGAATAATCATGGAAAATTTATCGTGTAAGAAACCCATGTGTATGACGAGGGATGATTGGAGGTCCTATAAGAAGTCAACGAGTTGTCATGTTTGTAATAGACCGCCTCCGTGGTCTAGTGGTAGAGCGTCCGCCCGGAGAGCGGAAGGTCTGGGGTTCGATCCCCGGACGCGTCATACCAAAAGACGTTAAAAGATGGTACTTGTTGTTACCCTGTCTGGCGCTCGGCATTAAGGGGCTAAAACAAGGACTGGTCGGCTCGGAGTCAGAATACTGTGTCTGAGTGGGGTATTCATGTTAAACTGCGGCATGGTATCTCAGTGAGCTAGCACTATAAATCGGCATCAGTCCGGACTAGTACAAGCAGCCACACAAACACACACATGTACATGCACATCGCTATATAAGTTCAATAATCTTGGATGCGACGTTAAACCCCATTTCACCTCACCTCATGTTTGTAATAAACCCCTGAATGGGGATTCTGTAAGAGATCATTGTCACGTCACGGGTAATAATCGGGGAGCCGCGCATAATGAGTGTAACTTGAAACTAAAAATGAATTCTCAAACAATACCCATCCCGTTGTGTTTCACAACCTTAGAAGAAATTATTCTCATCTCATTATGCAAGCTATCTCAAAGACCGATGGCGGCTTCACGTGCATTCCTATTATATGGAAAAGTATATATCATTCTCGTTGACTAAAACTATACATTATACGGACAAGGATGGGAAAGCCAGAAAAAAAAAGTAATGGGCTTAGATTCATAGACACCGTACAGTTTCTGTTATCTTCCCTGGACAATTTAGCTAATGCAAACAATCCCGATGACTTTGCAATAACAAATCAATATACTGATCAGATTACTCGTCATTTGTTGTTGTGGAAAGGTGTATATCCTTAAGAATATATGGATGATTGGTCTAGATTTGATGAAACTAAATTACCACCCCTTGAATCATTCTATAGTAACTTAACAGAATCTAAAATAACCGATGCCGATTATGAACACGCTCTGACGGTGTGGGATAAATTAGGTTGTAAGAATTTAGACGATTATCACGATCTGTACTTAAAAAACGATGTACTGTTACTCACCGATATAATCGAGATATTTAGAAAGACATGTTTAAAATAATACAGCTTGGAACCGGCATGGTACTATTCCAGTCCCGGACTATCGTGGGATGCATTGTTGAAGAAGACCGGTGGAGAACTAAAACTACTCGCCGATTACGATATGCACTTGTTTGTTGAGAAAGGATTAAGAGGTGGTATATCAGGACGGCGAAAAGGTATTCTAAGGCTAATAATAAATTAGTGGAAGGATATGATCCGAGTAAACCTGATATGCACATATTATATCTCCACGCCAACAATTTGTACGGATGGGCTATGAGTCAACCTTTACCCATGGGTGGTTTTGAGTGGGTCGATGTGAATGATATCCCCACAGATTCCGTTGCGAATAAAGGGTACATACCAGAAGTTGACTCGGAATATCCAAAAGAGTTGCACAAAGACCATAACAGTTATCCGCTAGCTCCCGAAAGAATGGTTAATAAAGATTGGATGTCGGAATATCAACACTCCTTGATTGGTAATACTAGGTTAGCTAACGTAGAAAAACTTGTACCAAATTTGATGGATAAGACAAAATATATAGTTCACTATAGAAATCTCAAGTTATATCTATCATTAGGTATGAAACTAAAGAAAATACACAGAGTTCTAAAGTTTGATCAAAGCCCTTGGATGGAGCCCAATATAAGGCTGAACACAGATTTAAGAAAGATGGCTACCAGCAATTTCGAAAAGAACCTGTATAAGCTCATGAATAACTCAGTATTTGGTAAAACTATGGAGAATCTAAGGAAGCGTGTTGATGTTAAATTAGACAGATCTAATGAGGAAGAAAGACTCAGGAAACTTATAGCCAGTCCGGCTTTTAACAGAAGCAAGATATTTGGTAAGGACTTAGCCGCACTACATATGCAGAAGAGTAATATAAAATTCACCAGACTGGTGTACGTTGTTATGAGTATTCTTGACTTGTCAAAACACTTAATGTATGACTTTTATTACAACAAACTTGAGAAGCAATACGGCGATAGATCCGAGGTGTTATAAACCGACACAGATTCTTTGTTGATGGAAATACAAACTGAGGATGTGTATAAAGATATGGCAGAAAAAATAAATATGTACGACACGAGCGATTACCCAAAAGATAATCCACTGCACAGCGTAGTAAATAAAAAGGTGTTAGGTAAGATGAAGGATGAATGTGCTGGAACCCCTATAGCGGAGTATGTAGGATTAAGACCTAAGATGTATTCTATAAATAAGTCTGATAATGGGGAGATAAGAAAAGCTAAGGGTGTTAAGAAGTATGTGGTAAAAAAGCATATCAAACACGAACAGTATAAAGAAGCATTATTCAATGGTAGAACATTCAAACACGAGATGAACACTTTCAGAAGTGACAATCACAGGATATATGGATTAAGAATGAACAAGACAGCATTATCCCCCTTAGATACAAAGAGATGGATTGATAAGGATGGTGTAACTACCTATGCTTATGGTTACTTAGGGTGGTAATACTGTATCGCTGGGAACTATGAGCAACTCTTCTTGTACATATCCCCTGCCCGGTCCATCTTTAAGATAATAAAGAATAGGCTCTCCTTCTTTCATAACCAACTGACTAATGTTTTATATCTTAAAGGACCAAATCGGATCGGTTGCACGACGTTGGCCTCCTTCGAGTTGACTGGGCTGGTATAAATATCTTACGCTTACCCTATCCGGTAGTTTTTGTTCTTTGCCTCTCCTCGGTGCTGAAGATTCGGAAGTCACAGATTTCATTTTAATCGCATTGGATGGTTCTTCCCGATTAATCTCATTACTTCATTATTCAGCGCTGATACAACAGCTGATAATCGTGTCACCCATTCGGTTGATCTTAATAGATCTGATTTCATTTCAATCCCATACTGATATCAAAACAAACGTTCCGCTAATGTCCAGTTAAATCATTGAACGATAGCTTGACTACGGTGGGCCTCTTTTTCACCACGCCTGATTGTGACATCGTGCTTTGTTAACAGTTTAGTTACTGATCCCATAATCTCGCGACCAGTATCTACTTGAAATAACTTGGGCCATTTTAGTGGTCCACGTTTATATATGCGACTCAGTGCATTAGCTACTTCTGTTGAATCTTTCGAGGTTAATGGTTCAGCCTCCTTGTAGCAACTAGCCACATCCACTACGGTTAAAGCGTATTTAAATGTTTTGCGTCTTACCTTATCATGGGGAAGAAACAAGAGGTCTGCTTGATGAACTTCATTCGTTGTAAAAATATCAAACTTCTTCCTCAGGATATAACGCGGTGCCAGTACCCCGGTAGGTCTATTTGCTACATCGCTTGTTTCTTTAGCCAATCCTTGGCCACATCTTTAGATACCTAAGCCGCAGTGGCTAATCTTTGTATTGCTCCTATACCTTTCCAATATCCTCGTGGGCTATAGTAAATTTTATCCATTATTAATTAATATTGATGATTCTTCTAATACAAATCATGACAATCATTGAATTGCATCATCATTTATGCATAAAAAATTTTAAGACTTTACAAGCTTTGAGGAAATGGTGGGAGATGAGCCTGTTTCTGTCTTTGCAAGCAGTCCTACTAAATAACGTCTGGGGAAAAACTGGGAGAATGATACTAAATAATAAAGTGTATTCTATGTATTCTACCCGTGTTCTTGAACTTATTAAAATAAAGTGCTATTACTATTACATACACCACAATTCTTTTTAAATGTTGAATCTGCATACGAAATGCAATTTTATTTTATTCCAACTGACACGGTGGTCGACACTTAGTCTTTGGAGGATACAATGTAAATTTGATGCTAATGATGTAAATCCCTGAATTGTCTGGTCTAGACTCGATTATTTAGAGACTGCCATCATATAGCTGGAATATAACAAACAAAACTTAACATACGACCCATGAAGATCCGGGTCAGAATTGGTCTTCAGCAACCCATGTTTCTTGTAAGTGGCGACTATGCTTGTAAGAGGCGACGAACGGGATTGGGTGGTCAGGCTCGCTGACTTGTTTAATGCATGTCATTGTATCCCAATTGCGTAGATCGTTGTTCATGATGTCACTCACTGGAGTGTCTGGACCAGACTTGTTTATTTACAGACCGCCATCATATAGCTGGAATATTGCCGAGTGTAGCGTTAACAAATAAACATTTCTTAAACAAACTTGTCTGTAATTACCATTAGGTCTGCTTTGTTGCACTTATTTTTTTGTTATTTTTGGCTGTGTTTTACTTATTTGTACGCCATTAACATGGATATTACGATCATACCAAACTGAGAAAGATATGTTTTATTGACTGACTGCACTGAATTATTTAACTCCTGGACGTCTGATGAAACCTCCCGGACTCTCATGGATGATTCTGGATGCCCCCCAGATGTTCCAGGACAAAAACACCTATAAATTTTACTCTGAGTGGTTTCAGGGTTAGAATATGACCTATGACCACGGGCTTGAATCCTGGTTCACCCTGATTACGTTACTAGGTTCGTCCACACCTACACCCAGTTGACACGCCCTGATATAACATATTTGGACAGGTGCTCTTCTAATCACTTGAGGCCATATTTTCATTATTTATGCAAGAAAGTTTCAAAGGATTTTGTGTTACTGTTCCCTATTCCATATGCATTCTTGTAGGTAAAACAGATTCACAATTCAAGAACATATTGCAACATTTTATTCCACATAGGCCACAAGACAAAGTTGTCCTCTTTTGGTGAGACTTAGTTCTCACACCTGGAATGTCTTACTTGAGGCAGTACCTGTGAACCATGAGGCCCCCTAAAGCAGGTGATGAGGGAATAAGCCACACATGAGGCTGTTTCTGCCAACATAGTCTGATTCCCATGTTATTCGTACATTATGTTATTTGGGTACACAAGTCTTTCTGGTTCCCTAGATGACATGGCTTCAGCTGCCAGCTCATAAATGGCTACAGGAGCTGAGATCAACAGCTTGGACACATCATAGGTATGTATAAACAGTCTCTTGGTTCACAGGTACTCAACATGACTAAAGTAATATCAAATGCTTTAACACTCATGCAGATATAGGGCACAAAGAACACTGTCTTGAACTGTTATTATCATCAGTTTTGTAGTATTATACAAGTACTTACTGTCTTCCCTCTCCCAGTCAGATGTAGCATTTCACTGTCATACTTTCCAGTGATTAGTAGCAACATTTCGCACTTTGGTGAAGCATCATGAATGACATTTGGAAGTCATGCAACATGAACCATATTCCCAGTTACATATCTACAACATCTATATATCACATGACAGAATTCCAATATACATTTTGCACCATATACATGTGGCAGAGGATATCTCAGTTGCATCCAGTGAGGACATTTAACATACATCCATTAACATCATGGAATCATCTAAAGGAAATAGTGTAAATAACATAAATTATCATGGTAATTCAAAATAAATATGTTTGATTTACTATACTTGTGACAAAAACACATAGAAATGGGTTTGATAACAATGTCACACAAGGCCGTGTGCAGTTCACCTCACATGAACAAGAGTTACAATTTATGGGTAATGCATGCATACTCTTGAATCAGAAATATCTGCCCATCTACACCAATAAACACACTTAGCCCATCAAGAAGCACTGTGCTTTGTCAACAATGAATGTAGAAATGAGAAAGATAAAATGCTTGTTATGGCTGGCAGTATAATTTCATACAGTTCAAAGCATATTTACAGAAGAGGACCAGTCATCAGTGTGGCACAGGAACCACCACATACATCTCATCTCCAATTCCAACACATCTGCGTTTTCAGCAAATCTGTGAGGTGGTATCAACCTTTGAACTGAGACATTTAGCATCTTGCCATGGTTACATACTAGCACCTGACCCTAGTGAGGTCAGACAATATAAGAAAATTTAAAGGACATTAGCAACTTCGAAGAAACAGTAAGAAAAGAAATTTCACATAAGCTCAGTGTGGAAATAAGCCAAAGTCAAAAGTGTTTCTTTTTAGGGTTAAATATGTGAAGCAAATGTTGAAACACAGTATGTACACTGTATTTTCATTATGTTTATAATATTGCTTTTAGAACCTCTTCAACACGAATACCATACCAATGGAAATCCTGCAGAAACACATTTAATACTGACATTTCAGTTGGACACATACAATGTGACAGCATCTACTACTAATTGCAAATCCTACATTTCTATATGAAATCAATAGCAATAAGTGCATAAAATACTTGTGGAAATATACAATTATCTCATAAGTTTAATGCCTATGCCTCTTCTTTTACAGATTTCTGGGCCGCAAACAGAAGGGGGTGGGGGTGGGATGGCGAGGGGTGAGGGCGAGGTGTGAGGGCGAGGGAGAGGGGTGGGGGAAAAGGGGATTACATTGTATTTGTGTTTGTAATTTTGAAAATGTGTTGATTATCAGCACTTGTTTCACATTCTTCCCAAAGGTCTTGAATTAGGTTCTAGTACATTAAAACAAACCTACTAACAAGCAAGATTTTAAAGAGGCACACATTTAATTTAACAGCATTAAAACAAACAAAAAATCTTTAGTTAGGGAAAATGAATGTACTTTCAGCAAAAGAAAATGGCCTAATTACGACTTCTCCTCAGTTTGAAATAATTGAGCTATATATTGTCTCATAGTAAATCAATCATACACATAATGTGTTTGCTTTGTAAAGTGGGTTATTCTAGCGAGAATCTGGAAGATGCCAAGTGTAGAGGATGTATGGCACAGCATAGCTCAGAGGGGCACCTTCTCCTCAGGGAGGCTCCCAGGAGTGGTGGGGGACTGGACTGGATCATCATCCCCAGCTGACTCACTCAGCTGCTCATCAATGCTGGTGCTGGAGCGACTGCCAGATACACGGGCCTGCAACAGTCACTGACACATCACACACACGTTCATCAATGCTGGTGCTGGATCGACTGCTAGACACACGGGCGTGCAACAGTCACTGACACATCACACACACATTCATCAATGCTGATGCTGGAGCAACTGCTAGACACATGGACCTGCAACAGTCACTGACACATAACACACACGTTCATTAATACTGGTGCTGGAGCGACTGCCAGATACACGGGCCTGCAACAGTCACTGACACATCACACACATGTTCATTAATGCTGGTGCTGGAGCGACTGCCAGACACATGGACCTGCAACAGTCACTGACACATCACACACACGTTCATTAACGCTGGTGCTGGAGCGACTGCCAGACACATGGACCTGCAACAGTCACTGACACATCACACACACGTTCATTAATGCTGGTGCTGGAGCGACTGCCAGACACATGGACCTGCAACAGTCACTGACATATCACACACACGTTCATTAACGCTGGTGCTGGAGCGACTGCCAGACACATGGGCGTGCAACAGTCACTGACACATCACACACACGTTCATTAATGCTGGTGCTGGATTGACCGCCAGACACATGGACCTGCAACAGTCACTGACACATCACACACACGTTCATTAATGCTGGTGCTGGAGCGACTGCCAGACACATGGACCTGCAACAGTCACTGACACATCACACATATGTTCATTAATGCTGGATCGACCGCCAGACACATGGACCTGCAACAGTCACTGACACATCACACATATGTTCATTAATGCTGGATCGACCGCCAGACACATGGACCTGCAACAGTCACTGACACATCACACATATGTTCATTAATGCTGGATCGACCGCCAGACACATGGACCTGCAACAGTCACTGACACATCACACATATGTTCATTAATGCTGGATCGACCGCCAGACACATGGACCTGCAACAGTCACTGACACATCACACATATGTTCATTAATGCTGGTGCTGGAGCGACTGCTAGACACATGGGCGTGCAACAGTCACTGACACATCACACACACGTTCATTAACGCTGGTGCTGGAGCGACTGCCAGACACATGGGCGTGCAACAGTCACTGACACATCACACACACGTTCATTAATGCTGGTGCTGGAGCGACTGCCAGACACATGGACCTGCAACAGTCACTGACACATCACACATATGTTCATTAATGCTGGATCGACCGCCAGACACATGGACCTGCAACAGTCACTGACACATCACACATATGTTCATTAATGCTGGATCGACCGCCAGACACATGGACCTGCAACAGTCACTGACACATCACACATATGTTCATTAATGCTGGATCGACCGCCAGACACATGGACCTGCAACAGTCACTGACACATCACACATATGTTCATTAATGCTGGTGCTGGAGCGACTGCTAGACACATGGGCGTGCAACAGTCACTGACACATCACACACACGTTCATTAACGCTGGTGCTGGAGCGACTGCCAGACACATGGGCGTGCAACAGTCACTGACACATCACACACACGTTCATTAATGCTGGTGCTGGATTGACCGCCAGACACATGGACCTGCAACAGTCACTGACACATCACACATATGTTCATTAATGCTGGAGCTACTGCCAGGCGCACATTTGATTGTATATTATTTTAGAAATTATTAAGCATAATAACAGATAAATATAATATATTATGTATGAATGTATGATGCTTTGTTTGATTAAGCAATATCCAATCCATATGATGGTGATCCCAGCAATTTCATAAGCTGCAGTGACACAATCAAACCAGTCAACAAGGCAGTTGGGGGGGAGCTTTTCTAATCTATCTTTCTGAGGCAAGGGAGTTATTTGACCATAAAAACCGAACTAGACTGGAATTTCTGAGTTATATTTTTCTGGACTAACAAGTTCATGCATAGTCCAATAAAAATTCTGACTCATAAACGAACATGGCGACAGACGCAAAAATCTTATTATGTTTTTAATCAAGGTGCTCAAGTGATCCGATGCACTTTGTCATGAAAAACCCGTTCTTTTATGAGGGCTGGTCAAAAGGTTTGAAGCCAAACAAACTAAACCAACAATTGTGAAAGTATTTTTAATTTTATTTTTCAAAATAATCTCTCTGCTTTTCAATACACTTCTCATAGCGATAGTGAAGCTTTTCAATTCCAGTCAGCAAGAAGTTTTCTGAAGCCAGCCTGAAAAGTCCATTCACAACAGTTTTGAGGTCATTGTTGTCGTCACAGGGCTTTCTACGAAGGTGTTCTTTCAGTTTAGAAACAGGTGGAAATCACTTGGTACCAGATATGGCGAGTATGGAGGGAGAGGAAGTTCTTTGAACCAACATTGTCACACAGCAGCCTTTGCAAGTCGAGAGGTGCGAGAAGAGGCATTGGCATGAAGTAGTAGAACTCCAGCAGTCAGCATTCCTCGCCGCTTTTCTTTGATAAAATCTCTTAGGTGGTGAAGCAAATGAGCAGTAGTAGGCACTGTTACTGGTATTTGTCCTTCGACATTCTAAGTAACCGACGAGGATTGTACCCATTGCATCCCAGAATACAGTGGCCATAACATTCTTCACTGATCTTGGAAGACTTGAATTTCTTTGGTGCCAGAGAAGTGAAATGATGCAATTCCATGGATTGATTTTTTGACTCAGGATCATTGTGGTAGACCAAGGTTTCATCACTTGTTACTAATCTCTTTATGAATTTGATGAAATCCCCAATTAGCTCTAAATTTTCTCTGGCAACGTCAGTTCTTTTATCCTTAAGATCAGAATTTAGAAATGCTGGCACCCAAAAAGCAGATATCTTATTCATCTGTAAATGTTCATGAATAATGATTTCAATGGATTCATTGCTCAGACCTGTGTCTTCTTCAAGTTCAGCGATGGTAATACATCAGTCTTACAATAGAAGTTTTTCTGACTCCTTGATGATATCTGCATTGATGAAAGTTGAGGGACATCAAGACCTAGAGGTATAATCAAGGCATTTTCTACCAGCCTTAAACATGCCCAACATTTAACAGTGGAAAAGCTATACACTTGTGACATACGGTCATGAATTTCTTTGTTTGAAGCAAATGCAACAGATATGAAAGGTCAAATTTGGTCAGTACAAGGGACATAAAAGGGATAGAACTCATAATAGCCACTGGTGGCGCAACGACCGTCCATGAAATTCCAGCCTAGTTTGGCAAAGGTGGAAACTGGACTTTTATAGTCAGTTAACTCCCTTGCCGTGAGAATATAATTCTAATCCAGAATACCTACAGAATTGTATGATGTATGATTTTGATGATCATACAAAGTTTCATTCAGCAATAATGAAGAGGAGTTATATTCTGGAAACCCAATAATCTAAAAAATGACAATACTCACGAATACAGACACCAGTGGAGCATTTGCCTGGTGTGTATAGAAGGTTTCACAAAGAAATATTGAACAGTTTATGAATTATGTTCCAGAAACGAACCATGACGAACAGACAGAGCCTGTTACAATATGAATGTTTAACTGACAACTACTGTGTGTTATTTGTATCCTCCCAGTTAATCATATCCATAATGCAAGGATGCGGAGTCCAATGTATGCAACAAGAATATATATCATATCATAATTCATGACACATATTCAGGTTTTAAGTGCATAGTGCTATGTAATCAAGTGCATTTTAGTTAAGAAACAAATCCATGAAACAACTGTCAACACTGAATGACACATTAGTCCAAAAATATTCATGACATCCATTACAACAACAATCATGCAATACTGGACTCAATGGCTACTTGTACTGTGAACATGCTGATGAGATGAAGTTAGTTGTAGCAACAAGACTCCTCTACACACAATGTTGTACCCACAGATAGACATCCCTTGGAGGATCACTAAATTTAACCTCGAGCTGGTTAGGTTGTGCTGGCAAACAAAGGAAATTGTGCGCTTAAATCTACAAGATACAACATACACACTCACCAAGCGATCCTTTAAATTTTCTATTGAGCGGGATGTCTAGAACAGATTCATAAACTATGTTCAATCTAACAGGGATCTTCTCTGTACTTGGACTGTTATCCACAATCCTCATTCAACATGCTTCTTTTTGGAGACAAGATTTCATAAAACTATATTGCTTATATTCTGTAAATCTGGTATGTATCTGTAAGTGGGAAGCAGCCTGCCAGTGCCCTGCAACACTGACTGCCCCAAGCATACTGCTGCTGCTGCTGCATCATGTCTGCAGCCATGGTAACTACTTGTCTTAAACCTGCCAGAAGAGGGTCAAGTAAATGTTTACCATGTCAGCCTGGTGTCATGTTTATACTGTCAAAATAGTACTTGCCATATTTTAGAGTATTTTGACTTGTAATTTGTTGAAAGGTATTTGCATTATAAGACAAAAAAAAACAGTCCCATTACTCCCAGTGCACTGTTAGTAATGATGGTTAAAATAGATTATTTCATATTTCATGTTAAAGCAGTAGCAGGGACTAAGACCATACTTAATTCTGCAAACAAACCACTAGCTCTGTAACTTAATAATAAAGTTATCTACATTTCCAGTTTGAAGGTATGGGAGGAATCACATGCTTTGTTTTTTTCATTCAAGCAAATCTTCCTGAAGTTTTTTGGCTTGTTGCTTGATGTGATCTATTGTGAACTTGTACACATACATATGTCGATGTTGTTTAAACTTGGTCAAATTCCTATCATAAAGATTAAATCAAAAATATATAAAGTCACACAGTAATTTGCTGACTGTTTTCTAAATGAGTGACCTTCACCCTCAACTTCATTTGGTTTACGTCAAAACCGATGTCAATGGTGTGTAGAAAGACACAATAGTCATGAAGTCTCTGTAACATTTGTTGTCAGCTTGTGGTCGAGAAAACTCTTATTTGAGTTAACACATTAAGTAGCCTGAGTTTCATCAGAAATCTATATAATTTCTAAAGGAATCGATAACATGTCATGAAAGCATGATTCTGGTTAGTTACTGTTGACATAAAACTGACATGCATGCTGCGGATGCCTTCAATACATGTTCAAAAGTTAACCACCATTTCACCATAAAATACTCAAAACAATTTAACATCATTGGTTCTTATCACAAACCCATTAAACATCATTGGTTCTTATCACACACCCATTAAACATCATTGGTTCTTATCACACACCCATTAAACAGCATTGGTTCTTATCACAAACCAATTTGACATCATTGATTCTTATCACAAACCCATTAAACATCATTGGTTCTTATCACAAACCAATTTGACATCATTGATTCTTATTACAAACCAATTAAACATCATTGGTTCTTATCACGAACCCATTTAACATCATTGGTTCTTATCACACACCCATTAAACATCACTGGTTCTAATCACAAACCCATTTAACATCATTGGTTCAAATCACAAGTCTCTTCTACCATATACTGGACAAGCTCTCATCAATATCCAGTCAACTGCTCCTTTTGGTGCTGGGTCTTGGGATGTTGTCCCCACAATCTGGTCTCCACCAGGATGGCAACACTCGCCACAGCAGCAGCACAGCAAGCACACACAGGTTAAAAACATAGCTTGAAATATGCCTGTTTACCCAGCATCGATCGGGAATCCGGTTAAATGAAATGGTGAAAATTTATCCAAAAAAACACCAGCTTTTGAGTATATAAAACATGTACACACTAATGATGGCATTACCTTTGCCATAAAGTGCATTACATCCATTAAAGTTGGCAGTGTAATACACTACAATACACAATATATTGTACATTATTATCAATTGCACTACATGTTCAAGGTAACAATAATATAAATAAATGCCTTATTGTACAAGAAAAGAAATAGCGCTATATTAGAGAAGACAATGCACAACCTTGCCCCTCAACCCATCCCTCACAACACCCTGACTCCTCACAACACCCTGACCCCTCACACCATCCCTCACAACACCCTGACCCCCACACCATCCCTTACAACACCCTGACCCCCATACTATCCCTTCCAACCGCCTGACCCACACACCATCCCTCACAACACCCTGACCCCCACAACACCCTGACCCTCACAACACCCTGAACCTCACAATACCCTGACCCCCATACCATCCCTCACAACACCCTGGACCTCACAACACCCTGAACCTCACAACACCCTGACCCTCACAACACCCTGACCCTCACACCATCCCTCGCAACACCCTGAACCTCACATCACCCTGACCCCCACACCATCCCTCACAACACCCTGACCCTCACAACACCCTGACCCTCGCACAATCCCTCACAACATCCTGAACCTCACATCACCCTGACCCCAACACCATCCCTCACAACACCCTGACCCTCACATCACCCTGAACCTCACAACACCCTGACCCTCACACCATCCCTCACAACACCCTGAACCTCACATCACCCTGACCCCCACACACCCTCCCTCCCAACAACCTGACCCCACACACCATCATTCACAACACCCTGACCCAACACACCATTCCTTACAGCACTCTGACCACCACACCATCTCTCACAACACCTGACCCCACACACCATCCCTCACAACACCCTGACCCCACACACCATTCCTTACAGCACTCTGACCCCCACACCATCCCTCACACCACCCTGACCCCACACACCATTCCTTACAGAACTCTGACCCCCACACCACGCATCAATACACCCTGACCCCACACACCATCTCTCACAACACCTGACCCTACACACCATCCTTCACAACACCCTGACCCTCACACCATCCCTAACAACACCCTGACCCCACACACCATTCCTTACAGAACTCTGACCCCCACACCACCCCTCACAACACCCTGACCCCCACACCATCCCTCACAAAACCCTGACCCTAACAACACCCTGAACCTCACAACACCCTGACCCCCACACCATCCCTCACATCACCCTGACCCTCACAACACCCTGACCCCCACACCATCCCTCACATCACCTTGACCCTCACAACACCCTGACCCCCATCCCATCCCTCACAACACCCTGAACCTATACACCATCCCTCACAACACCCTGACCCCCACACCATCCCCAACAACATCCTGACCCCCACACCATCCCTCACAACACCCTGAACCTATACACCATCCCTCACATCACCCTGACCCCCACATCATCCCCCCTGACCCCACACACCATCCCTCACAACACCCTGACCCCACACAACACCCTGACCCACACACCATCCCCCCTGACCCCACACACCATCCCTCACAACACCCTGACCCTCACAACACCCTGACCCCACAACATCCCTCAATTCACCTTGACCCTCACAATACCCTAACCCTCACAACACCCTGAACCTCACATCACCCTGACCCAACACACCATCTCTCACAACACCCTGACCCCACACACCATCCCTCACAACACCCTGACCCCACACACCATTCCTTACAGCACTCTGACCCCCACACCACACATCACAACACCCTGAACCCCACACCATCCCTGAAAACACCCTGACCCCCACACCATCCCTCACAACACCCTTACACCCACACCATCCCTCACAACACCCTGACCCCACACCATCCCTCACAACATCCTGACCCCAACACCATCCCTCACAACACCCTGAACCTCACAACACCCTGAACCTCACAACACCCTGACCTTCACACCATCCCTCACAACACCCTGAACCTCACATCACCCTGACCCTCACATCACCCTGAACCTCACACCATCCCTCACATCAACCTGACCCTCACACCATCCCTCACAACACCCTGAACCTCACAACACCCTGACTCCCACACCATCCCTCACAACACCCTGACCCCCACACACCATCCCTCACAGCACCCTGACCCTCACACCATCTCTTACAACATCCTGACCCCCACAACACCCTGACCCCCACACACCATCCCTCACAACACCCTTACCCCACACACCATCCCTCACACCCTGACCCCCACACCATCTCTTACAACATCCTGACCCAACACACTAATTCTTGACTTGTCTAGTTCACTTGACTGCACACCATTGCTACCTTGATCCCACTTGCTATGGCTAACCTCTGTATCACGGTCACCTATCCCCACCACAATGCCCAGATCTCCTTCATGATGGGTAGAAGACTACATTTATTCTCACCCTGACACTGGCGTAGGTACTTCCAACACTCTCTTCCAGGGACTTGAATGTTGAAGAATTCCTGAAATTCACATTTGGTCAAATGAAATTATTGATAATTGATAATTCCTGCGAAAACAAAACATTTTTTTACATCACTGCCAGAACATACCAGAGGGACTGGTGGGACCTGACATATTGTAATCCTTGGATAGTTAACAGTTGTTTGTGGATACTAAAAGAGTTCAAAACCCTTAACAATGAGTATTTTAACTTGTGTGAGTTGAAAGCTCGTTTTAAACATTTAAATGTATATTTATTTCATTTTGAAGTGATGTTAACTTTTGTATTATTTCTTACCGAAAGTGTCTGTCTGTAGATTTACACAAGTGATTCACTTCAAAAAGGTATTCTGTCTGTGTATAAGTTTGTCATAAAAATGCCTGCCACAAGTCAAACAGTTGCAAAACAACAAAATTTACGAAAACTAAGCTTAAAAGTTGCAGAATTGTGTGCAGAATTATTAAAATTTGATGGCTAAATTTACAAAAATTGAAAGAAGTGTTGACAGTAAGAAAGACGGAATACTTTTTATGTAATAAGTGTATTTTTATATTTAATGACCAAAATACAGCTTTTATGGCAATGATGCAATTGCATAGTCTTTGTGTTAAGAGGAAAAACATCAAAACTCATTGTCATTACTAATTTATTATGCACACCCCCAACTACACAGGTGTATCTTGTTTTTTAAAAAGTGTGCACAATACACAAGAAAATATGGTAGTCTGTGGGGTGCTTTGGGAAAGATTAAGTTTTTTATTTTCAAATCAATGGTGGCCACTTGGCTGCCATACTGAAACTGCAATTTGAACAAACTCAAACCCCTCCTCATTATAACAAACATCCACACTAAATTTCATCTGAATCGATCAAGCCTTTTTGTGGAAGAAGTTGAAAACATAAAAAGAGTATGGAAGCCCCTGATGATATAAGCTCACACATCTCCCCGAGGCAAGTGAGTTAACTGACTATAAAAGTACAGTTTCCACACATCTTCCCGAGGCAAGTGAGTTAACTGACTATAAAAGTACAGTTTCCACACGTCTTCCCGAGGCAAGTGAGTTAACTGACTACAAAAGTGCAGTTTCCACACATCTTCCCGAGGCAAGTGAGTTAACTGACTACAAAAGTACAGTTTCCACACATCTTCCCGAGACAAGTGAGTTAACTGACTACAAAAGTACAGTTTCCACACATCTTCCCGAGGCAAGTGAGTAAACTGACTACAAAAGTACAGTTTCCACACATCTTCCCGCGGCAAGTGAGTTAACTGACTACAAAAGTACAGTTTCCACACATCTTCCCGAGGCAAGTGAGTTAACTGACTATAAAAGTACAGTTTCCACACATCTTCCCGAGGCAAGTGAGTTAACTGACTATAAAAGTACAGTTTCCATCCTTGCCGATGGCTGGTATTATGGGGTTACATTTTGGCTGGACTAACGAGTCTATGCAGAGTCTATGCAAAGTCTATGCAAAATCGCGCACCGAAATCAATATTCGGTTTGTAAACTGTCGTGCAGATTTCTGTCAATTGCAGAATTTGCAAAGCATGTGCACCGCCAACTCATTGTCAACAGATATTTTCCAAGTCTTTTCATGTTTTTAATCAAGGTGCTCACGTGATTTGTCGACTTCGCTATGTAAGACCCGTTCTATCACAATATAGATCTTGATTATCGATCAGATCATTTTGACCGGGCACCGCCGTTTTGTTTGAAGGTGGAATCTGATTGGTCCACATAAGAGGCTTAGAAGGGACAACCACTGGAATTCCAGCCTAGTTCGGCAAGGGTGGAAACTGGACTTTTGAAGTCAGTTAACTCCCTTGCCTCAGGAAGATGAAGTTCACATGGCTTTTAGTCCAGGTGAGACCATACAAGTAAACAATTCCTGAATCGATGTTTGTTAACACCACACTCAGTAATATTCCTGAGTACATATTCCTAGCAATAGGATGCAGGCCTGTAAATATTCAACTTGCTATTATTTGAGCAACGTATCACGTTACACAATCAACCATGTTACCTAGCCTTAACACCCTGATCCATTGACATGGAAAGGCTACTGTATTTTCTTGAGTATATTGCACACCCGAGTATAATGAGCACCCCCCTCTAGCGGATGCAGTATTTTGGAAAAAAAACATTTGAATATTATGTGTAGAAAAAAAATACACCGTACCCCTTCAGCGAATTTCAGTAAACGAACGGGTGATGAGAAACTTGGTCAGTGCAAATTTGAAATCAGAGATAAAAAAAATCACCAGACATGTTGATTTACCGTGTAAATTGTATTTTTTGTTCTGCTAGGCATTGTTTTACGTCCATGGATTAAGATTAGCATGTGTATTTTCTCGTAAACTAAGCTGGACACAGCAATCAGCTGTGCACAGATTCTTGGAATCTACCGGTGATTCGGTCAAGACACACCCAATGATATAACTTTACAGGATTTTAATGCAAGGATCAGCAAAAATTGTATCTGAAACTATTTTTTTTATTAGGAATAATATATTCCAATATCTTGTTATTTTAGTTGCAGATTTTACTAAATATATTTAAAATAATTATAATCCTAAGCAGCTGATCGCTATTGCCGGTTATTGATTTTCACATGGAACCAGTTTGGCCAGTCACCGTCGAGGCTCTCTTGACGTGATCGCCAGAAATCCGTGTTGACATGGAATCGTCAATCTATGACAAATATGACTTTTAACAAGTCAAAGTATGGCATTTATGATATATGCATCCATTCTCTGTCAACTAAAGTTCGTTTCAAGGCGTCAATAGCGGTAATCTGACCGTGGTTGCTGTTATTAACGGTGAGTTGTGCAATCTTCCGATCGCTTCACACATGATTTCGCCGAAATTAATTAAAACAATATGAAAAGGAATTTTTAATTAAATTTATGAAATAAGTTACAAACATAAGTCTAGATATACAAAGAACACTTTTTATAGACAGACTGTGTAATTACATGATTAATTTGCATACTTCAGTATGGATTTGTTGACATGATAGTTCCGGTGTTACGTGCTCACGGTAATGTCTTTCCGTTTGCGGGAAAAGACATCAAAACTCATTATTGCGCGTATAATTCGCAACCCCTTCTACACAGCTGTGTCTTTTAGAAAAAAAGTACGCACTATACTAAAAAAATATGGTATATATATGTGTATATAAATTTTACAAAAGGAGCATTTCTGATTGAATGCAATGTTTTTATACCTACCTGACACTACACAGCTTCCCTACCTTATACAAACAGACAGTACTGGAACGAAGAGACAGTTGAAACACAGTTGAAACACAGTTGAAACACAGTTGACTACAGCCCGTGCTTCGGCATCCACGAGGCCTCTACTCCCTCATATTCTTCACTGTATGGCATCAGACAGTACACAGTGGCACTAAAGGGTATGGCGGAGGAGGACGGAGTCTGGGTGGGCCTGTAGGTGTAGCATCAGGTAAGTATAAAAACATTGCATTTAATCAGAAGTGCTCATGTTTTACCTTACCTGATGCTTTATACACAGTGCTTTATTTGACTGACATGGAAGGCGGGCTTACCGTGAGAAGCGTCAGGTTCGCTGCAGAAGCACAACAAAATTTTCGGGCAGGAATTTAACCCAGCAGGCAACAGCAAGGTAGCGGCTCCTGGAACGGCAGGCAAGGGGATAAGATGCAGGTCAAGCCCTCTCGGAACAGAATGGTGGTCTGAAGATAGAGGATGAAGGTGGTCTGCCAATCGGGTTGGCCAGGCAGTTGGTTTTTTGCGACAAAGTCCTGGCAAAGGCCAAAGTGAACCAAGCCGTGAGGACGCTGGTTGAACCGGACATGGGTCACATCCAGGGCATGAAGCTCACTAACCCTGGCAGACTGTATCTGTATGGGTCTGGATGTGGCTGTCTATTCTGAGGATTGAGCAGCAGATTTGGCCATGCTGGGAGACGCAACACAGGTTCTCCGGCGAGCTGAAGGAAACCAAATCCGGGACGGCCAGTAAGGCGCGACCAAAAGCAGATCCAGAGGACAGATCTGGGCCGCCTTCTGAATGACCTAGAGGAGAAGAACTGGGGGTGGAAAAGCGTACCCAAACAGGCCGACCCAGGACAGAGCGAGGCTGTCTACCTCCCAAGCAGCTGGGTCCGGGACAGGAGACACATACACTGGCAATACTGCGTCAAAGAGATCTACGTTGGGAGTCCCCGGGCGATCGCACAAGAATCTTTAAGGCTTTAAGGTCAAGCATCCACTCCATGGGGGACGGACGATCGGGTCTGGACAGGGAGTCGGCTAAGACATTGCGACAACCTGGAATGTGATGGGCTCGGATCAGAAGAGGGAGACCATTGGCCAGATGAAACAGGCGAAAGGTCTGGTCCAGGAGAGAAGCAGACTTAGTCGACCCCTGCCTATTGATTTAATACACCACTGTTGAGTTGTCCGATGCGACCATGAGACACATGTTGCAGAGGAGCTGACGACAATGATGAATCGCCCGAATGACCTCATCCAACTCCAGATTGTTGATGTGCCATGCACATTCCAAAGGAGTCCAAAGACCGGCAGCAGTTTCCTGGAGAAGGTGGGTGCCCCATCCTTGTAGAGTCACGTGGACATGATGGGTGGCCTCAAAGCTGGTCATAGAGGAACCAGTAAAGACATTCGATGGGACTAGCCACCACTCCAGGAATGGACATAATTCCCTTGGCAGAGGAAGGAGGTGACCCGACAGGTCTGAGCGCAGAAAGAGAAGGAGAATTCGCTGAAGGAGACACAGTTGAAGCGACCCCTGGACATAAGATCCTGAGCTGAAGTGAACAGCCTGAGAAGGCCCTGCCACTGATGGAGATCAAGAGGTTGAGAGAGGGCTCTCCTGACCCTGGAGGAACCTGTATCAAGGCAAGTTCTGTCGGAAAGTGAGGTGGTGAGGATTGGGGTCCAATTTCTCCATGTTGATCATCCAATCATGGAGAAGGCAATGGGTGAATTTGGGCTGAAGAACCAGGGTCTGAGGGACGCCGTGACTGAGGATGCAGTCGTCGAGGTCGTCGAGGTAGGCTCTGAACCGAATCCCCCTGTGGTGAAGGAACGATTGGATAGGTTATACGTGTGAATAACCACGGAGCTGTGGAAATGCCAAATGGGAGCAAGTGCTGGCCCCAAAGATGAAGCGGAGGAAACGACGATGTGCTGCATGAATGGGAACGTGCAGGTAGGCATCATGGAGGTCCAGACTGATGAGGTGTCCATCGGTTGAAGGAGGTAGCGCAGAGAACGAATGGAAATCATCTGGAAATGTGGCGGAGGCGCAAGATAGTGGAGGTTGAATAGTGTCAGATTGTGGATCATTCATAGTTTTGATGAACCCTTCTTGGGCACCAGGAAGACTGGAGAATAAAAAACTGGAGGGATGGAGTCAGCGTCCAGGAGATCCACTGCAATCTTGGCAATCAGTAGGTCTATATTGGCCTGAAGAGCAGGCACATCGAGAGGCGGATATCGAGGTTCCAAAGGCGTGGTAGTTAGAGGAGGAACGGCGCGGAACTGCAGGCAGTAACCATGACAGAGGATCCGGGTAACAAGCTTCCAATTCCTCCATTAGGTTTGAAGTCCGGCCTGGCGAAGCTAATGTGGGTCTTTCCCCGACTTGAGCCTTTTACATAAAGCACAACATATAGAGTAGATTCTGCAAAAAAAATGTAAACAGCGCATAAGTGTAACAAGCAGAATCACATATGAAGCAAAACACGTTACTTGGCAAATAGGTGAACCAAGCGCACAAACACAACCAGAGTGTAAAGAGCGACTGGTAGCAAAATTGCGACCAAGGCACGAAACATGCTTAGTTATGCAGCCACAAACAAAAATCAAATTTACATGGTATAAACCGCAAACAAGACAAAATTTGAAGACAAAACAAGGTAAGTCGTAACTCTAGTACACGTCTGTCCGTAGAGTAGACAGAGAAGAATATGAGTGAGTAGGGGCCAAGGGGGATAACTCATGGATGCCGAGGCACGGACTGTAGTCTGTTTCAACTGTCTCTTTGTTCCAGTACTGTCTGTTTGTATGAGGTAGGGAAGCTAAAGCACTCTGTAGCGTCAGGTAAGGAAAAACTGACAATTTTTCTGTAAAATTAAGAATCATAAGTTTATACCCTTTATGCCAAACCCCTCAATAAATGATTCTGACCTTTACCTAAGTTTTATCATGTATGAGTGCATATATAGGTTCAAACTGAATTTTGGACTGTATGTGAAAATATGACACTGTCGGACAAAACCATCATCGCAAATCACAATGACCTAGGCATAAGAGATGGGAATTGTGGTTGTGTTGTTGTGAGTGACTCTGGCAGGTATATACTGGGTCATTGACATACATCACCGGAGTTCCACTCACCTGAGATCCCCAATTTTCCTTGACATTGATGAGCCAATGTTTGAGAAAGCAGCTGATGTCTTCTCTCCAACTGTCTTGGTTACAGCTGCAGTCTTCTGATAGCTGCAACAACACACAGGAAACATCTGGATTTACCATCTTACACAAAACAGTTCAAGAACCTTAATCTACACAAAACTAAGGCTGTTAGAAGTTGATACTAGACAAGCAAAATGCATCTTTTCACATTCACAATCAGCATTCAACATAATAACAAGTTCAACCGACAATAAGACGAAAGTGTAGCCTCTTCCTATCCTTGTCTACGTACATACTAAGACACTTAATGTCAACACACCTCAGATACGCGACTACCGGTATCACGAGTTGCAAAAACTAACTTACTATTGGAAGTAGCCAGTCTGTCTGTGTGTCCCCCTCACCAAGTTGACAAGCGCAATGTCATGTTGAGTGGTGTATATTAAATGCCATAGAAGTCAGAAGGAGTTCAGAGTTATCATGGTTGCAGAGTGTGGTTGTGTGAGAGTGTGAGCAGATAAGCTTGGAGAATTACCGTGACAGCATGAGCAAACAAACAAGAAAAATGGCGTGAGGCAATTACAAAGTGCCACCCGTGTTTACAGAATCATATGATGCATATGATGTTTACACAGAGTTTGACAGGTACAAGAGATCAAGAGATCAGTCTATGGACTAATATGTCACTGAATTTGAAAAATTATACATTAAAGCAAAACAATTTAACATGACCCTTCCAGAATTAGTGCTTGCTTTCAAGTCACTTGATAACACTTGTCTTGAGTATAAGGACAGACGATTTGTTCTCACTGATGTCAACTTCGAAAATCACACAACATTGTTTAAACAAACAGCCATGTCCTTAAAGAAATTCTTTGGCAAGCAAGCAATGCCGCCATCTGAGGGGAATGGTGGTATTCAGATAAAGACAGAACCAACATATGTGGCAACAAACACAACCAATGTGGAGGAAGAGAAAACTGCCTATTTTACTCGAAATAGAAGGGGTAGACATGGATATGGTTTCTTTGGCAGAGGAAACAACAACCATTCTAGCAGATCACAGGCAAGAATTAAGCACGGACGCAGGTTCCGAAGTGAACCATATGACAACCAGCGAATACAAAATCCGATTGGACATGATGGATGCCCTCTTCGATTCAAGGTTTGTGAGTGAGTGAGTGAGTGAGTATGGTTTTATGCTGCTTTTAGCAATATTCCAGCAATATCACGGTTTGGGACACCAGAAATGGGCTTCACACATTGTACCCATGTCGGGAATCGAAACCGGGTCTTCGGCGTGACGAGCGAATGCTTTAACCACTAGGCTACCTGACCGCCCCCAAGGTTTGTGAGTCAGGTGATCACTTCATCAAAGACTGCCCATACTATTATGAAAATATGGAAAAGAGAAAGTTTCAAGACAAACAAGAAAAATTTGTGTTGTTTTGGGCAAAAAAGGTGAGTTCTAGTTAATGAATCTTTAAACACTGTAGTCTTGGACAGTTGCAGGTGAAGTTTGGATGAAATGCTATATAGAAGATACACTTGATGATAGCAAAGTAAGACAAGTGAAGAGAAACAAAAGTGACTATGTTCAAGTTCAGGTAACTTCTCAAATCTATTGAAAAAGTACCTTTTCCATGTGCAATAGCAGGTGTCTACTGTACAATAACTATTGATGTTGTATGAAGTGATATTCCTCTTCTCCTTGGAAAACCACCTATGAAAGTGGCGAAAGTAGTACTGGATTTAGAAAATGATACAGCTTCAATTTTTGGAAAGGAAATTAATCTGCTGTGTACATCTTCATGGCACTACTGTTTCCCAATATTATACATTCTACAATGCCGGTGAATCAAACCTTCAAGGTCCTGTATTCCGAAAGTAAGCAGTCAAAGCAAGTGAAAGAGAAAAAGACTTTGAAAGTTTGAGCATCCATCAAGTAGACGACTTTTGATGCTGCTGGAGGACGCTGGGATCAAGGATGATACTTATCAGGCACTGGTTGATGAGGTAACACAGGATTGTGCTGTTTGTCTTACATTCAAGAAGTCACCAGTTCGACCAGTCGTTTCTCTCCCTCTTGCGACAAAGTTCAGGCCAGGCGTTTTATATTTTATATTTTTCGGAAATTGTTTCGTTTTATATTTTTTTAAATAAGATTTTCATTTTTTTCACCCCGCCGACAGCTGCGTAGTCAGTTATTTTATTTGTTGTCATCACCTTTTAATAAACTTGTAAAGAGAAACATAATCGATCTTTGTTGATCTCAAAGACAAACATGAATAGACTCCCTTGACAATTGTCTGTGATGTAAGTGGTAGAATTTTTATTGTTACAAAGGGCTTTATCGTTACAAATGGCGGTCTTTTGAGCACAGAATATGTTCATAAAGTATGCCAGAGGCATTCTGCATTTGCCTGCATTGCCTTGCAAACATTTGAAAACATCTACCGGTAATTAACATTCAGGATACGAACAACTGCATTGAGGATGTTATTTTAACCTTAGTAGATGAACAGTCGGTTTTATGTCGGTACATACATCAACTCAAGAAACTTCAAAAGATGACATGTTGATTGAACTTTTCTTACATTGTTGGAGTTTGAGAATCGCAGATATATTCACGTCAAAACGAAAACCACCGATAAACTGTGTGCAAGTGCAACGGTTGATGACCCCAAAACGGAACAGTGACAGATATGTATATTTTCAGTATTATTTTGATTATGTGTTTTTTGGAAGATGGTAATATCTCAGTGGTGCTACTTTCAAGTTCTTCTGACAAAACAGTGGCCAAGTTACTATGCGATATTTATTTTTTATATGTAATTTGCAGTGTTAGAATTAACATGAACAGTGACAGATATCATTATTTTCAGTATTTTGTTTGTTTTGTGCATTTTTGAAGACATTGAAGATCTCAGTGGTGCTACTTTGAAGTTTCTTCACGACAGTGGCTTTGACACATTAATCACTTATTAGTTTTGTGATATCAGGAAAAACAGGTTGAGTTTAATATTAATGTTTGTTTTATTTTTGTTACACTCTTAGTTTTTTAAGTGAATCACTCTAATGCAGCAGAACTTGTAGCAATATTATGCTGTTGGCTCTATGATCATTTGGACATTCAGTATGTGAAGTTTGTGCTGAGGAGAGACTGTGCTGCAAAATACACAATAAACTTTCATGAAGTCATCAGTCTTTTTTTCTTTTTTTGCATCTGGCCCTTTTTTTCCCCTTCTCCAACCCTGGATTTTGGGCTGAAAAATCCGAAATCCTAAAAATAAAAAAAGCCTGGCCTTAACAAAGTGGTGGCAATGGATCTGAAAGTTTTGAAGACTGGTGTTTACTTCCTCCACCTCATAAACATGGCCACAAGATTTAGTCTTGCTGCTGACATAAGGAAGAAAACTCCAGAGGTCGTAATCGACCCAAATTTGAAATTATGGGTCAGATGGAGTCCTTTTCAGCTCGTATTTGGAGCTAACCCAAACCTACCATCTACCCTTGTTGATAGACCACCTGCATTGGAAGGTACCACTGTAAGTGAAATGTTTGCAAAACACTTCAACTAACTACATGCTGCAAGGAAAGCCTTCATTGAAGCTGAATCATCTGAAAGAATCAGACAGGCCTTACGACATAACATCAGGTCATCCTATCAAACTGGTGATAAGGTCTACTTCATGAAGGAAAAGCAGTGGAAAGGTCCCGGGCAGGTGCTGGGTCAAGATGGTTGAAAGTGACATGTTATCAGAGGATGAACACAGTCCATCAAGGAGAAATAGCCCACCTGAGGTAGTTGAAGATCACACAGCTGAAGGCTTAACAAATCCACCAAAGGTCAAGGACAAGGTGAAATATCTTCTCAAGGAAGATCATATGTGAAGGTAAGATGAAGTTATTAGCAGAAGAGGAAAAGCAACTGGAAAATATCATGGAAGGTTTAATGTCTGTGGGAGCGTTGAATTGGATATGAAATCAGTGAACTTTGAAAAAGATGTCAGTTAGATGTCAGTCATCAAGTAGATGCAGGTATTTGGGGAGGCGGGAGGGATTAATTCCTGATGCCAGTATTCTTAGAATTATACAGAATAACAACTGTTAGATCATTCTTGTGAATACCTTACTTCTATTACATCATAGCCTGTATACACCAGAGGGACCGGTGGAATCTGGTATCTAGTATCCCTTAGGTAGTTGGCTTTTGTGAAGAGGGAATACATGAATTTAACAAAAGGGACCAAAAAGGAATGTTTTCATACTCAAGGCTAGATATAGATAATGTCCTACTACTCAAATAATATCCATATTTTAGCCATCAATGTGATACTTAGACATATTATGACGTCACTTCTGGTTGTCAATTCTAAGACCTCGTTTCAAGTTATATGTCTTCTATGACATCATATCACTTCTTATGATGTAATTTTCGTTATGCCCTTTAGGATAGTGATATTTTTAAAACTTATATAAGTTCCCGAGAGAAGAAGGTGTGGCAAGGCTACTTTGAGACCACCACCATCACTGCCACCAAGGGTTCCAGTGTGTATAGTCCATCCAAATCGGTCTGCATGTCTTGTAAGTAAAAGTTACACCGTGTTATGGGACTTCCATTGGCAGCAAGCTACGACTTGTTCAATGGAGACTGTATTCCATGTGGCTAGACTTGTTGCAAGAGCTCTGATCTCGTGAGGTATGCAGCTTCCCCAAGTTGATGTGGAGACATGTGCCAGTCTGTAGCTATCTACAATCACCAAACTGAGCCATCCCGCTACAGTATCCTTGGTTATGTCCTTTTCTGACGAGGGTTTGCAAGAGATAAAAAGGTGTTTTCTCTGCTTTCTGTGGGTTTGAGTTGCTGTAATGAAGTATCTCAAGGCTCTTATGGGACAAAGTAATCTGTCCGGATAGTCCACACATTTACTTAAGGCTGGTATCGTATCTTGCCTGTGTCCAAGTGGTCTGAAGGTCGATGACTGGTTTTGGGCAATAAAATCCGGAAGTGATCTGAACGACACTGATTCCATTCTTGCATATGAGTTACAGTGGAAATGTCAATAGCATGTAATTCTGATACACGAGCTGCAGCAGCCATGGCTTGGAGAAAAGCAGTTTTCAACAAAGGCTGAGGGTTTGTGCCCCCCTGGTACTGTATGTAGGCAACCACAGTCGAGTTGTCTGTAGCAGTCTTTACTGACGAGTGGTGCAGACGAACTAGCCATGCTTCTAGAGCTAGATATATCGCTCTCATTTCTAGGCAGTTGATGTGTAACTCCTTTTCTTGGGTGGACTATTTTCCCTGTACTCTAATATTGTCCACATGGGCACCCCAACCCTCTCCTGACACGTCTGTGTAAAGTTGATGTAGAGGGGGGGGATATGAGTGTGGAATACCGGGCATGACATTCTGACGAGTGAGCCACCAATATAGTTCTGAGATTCATACTGGTAAAGGTTGAATTAGTGTTTCTAGCTCTAGGTCTTTGGTGAAGTTCATCCAGTTTTGCAGGGGTTGTAACTGTAGTCTGCCTCTGCAGGTCAGATCTTGGATGGAGGTGAGCGTGCCTAGGCAAGACATCCATCAGCGTCTTGATTTGATGGGCCGGTCGAGTGCGATTGATATCATGTCTTTTACTCTTGAATTCCTGTCCTCTGGAGGGGCTACTATGCCCATGTTGAGTAGAAAGCTTGCACCTATGTAGGTGATGTCCTGTGTGGGTCCTGTGTGGGTGTAACTAATTCTGATTTTTGAGGATGAACCAGGAAACCCAAGTGCGTGAGTAGCTGAATAAGGCACACTGTATTTAGTCTGATGTGCGACTTGTCCTGATCGGCCGATAGGAAGTCGTCTATATATCCATGTAACCTTATGAGTTTCAGGTGGGCGAAGCCGATGACGGGATTGGTGATCCTGTTGAATAAGCATGGGACAATGTACATGCCGAATGGAAGTACCCTGAACTTGTATCTTTAACCATTGACTGCGAAGCGCAGATATCGACGATGACTTCGATGGATGGGTACATGAAGATAAGCATCCTGGAGATCTAGGCTTATCATCCAATCTGCTTGTCTTAAGGCATTCTTTAACTTCTTGATAGATTCCATCTGGAACTTGGGAGGTTTTTCCAGATAATCTTTGTTTAGGGCTTTTAGATCTATGTTAAACATTACAGACATGGAACTGGTTATCTTTTCCGTGAACTCATTTAAGTTAAAGCGGAAATGTGGCATAAGGGAGAGATTGGTTGCTTTTTCCAAGCCTAGATTATCCGCCTTACCAGATGTTTCCAGATGTACGTGACTGGTTACATTTAAACCTGAAAGGTACATCGGTTCCTTACCGTATATGACCGCGGATAAGCCGACCCCGTAGATAAGCCGAGGTGTTAACTTGACCATTGAAATACGAAAGAAAATGATATGACCCGCAGATAAGCCGAACCAGCAATTGAAAGGCAAAAAACACTGCGAAGTCGGACTGCAAGACATGTGCCGGTACTCGCAGATATTCAAAAATATAAGATGAAAAACGTTGTAATTATATTGAAAAAGTCATTATTATTTCTAATAAAGATTTAACAAACCAGTCATCCACTTTCATAAAGTGGAAAGCTGTTTCTCGTGGTTTTTTTTAATCTCATAATGATCGTTTTATGTTGCCATCAACAACGAAGCGCCATTTTGTGAATCGGTGTATATAGAATTATGAACCCGTGAGAAAATATATCGGCTAGAGCGAAGACTCGCAGTTTGAATTCAGCATCGTAAGCATGGCGTTTTTGTTTCAAACTCATGATGAGAATGTCAGTCAGTAAAAATACCAACTTTTATAACCCCCTTTATACCACTATTGTATGTTAATCCAATTGAATTAAATAAACTATCATACTATGAACACATTGAATGACCATCACTTACTCACAGGCTTCTCCAGTTTATTAAACTAATCTCTTGAAAACAAAGGAATAAAGCCCCTACTCCCAACACGATACCAATCGGCCCCTTATTATCAATGCTCATTTCCTTGTGTACCGTGTTGCTTTTTAAACAACAGGAAGCAATCACAGTGGTCACCGTTTGTGACGTCACAGGAAACAGCTGATCACATGTTTTTGCAAATGGCGAACGGAATAACTCGACGATACAGTTGTTTATTTGCCTCTTTCAATAAAGGTAGACACTTGTTCACTATCAATTTATGAACTTTGCAAAATGTACGTAATAGCTATTGGCGATTTCATCTGGGGATTATATATTATAGCTGTGAATTACATATATTGTTACATGTAAAGATCGCGGAGTTTAGAAGAACGATAAACTTTGAACATTCAATTGAAAACTTATTATCGGAAGTAGTAACATGCATAACATTTTTTTAATAATGACAACATTGGTGTATAATAATAACTTTATTGATAATTTATAACAATAATGGCTCTAGTCATGGCAACTTCCAAACTTTCGGGAAGTTGTAATCTATCGGACCGTCATTCAGGCGATGTTTCTGACAGATCACGATCTGAAAAATACTATCATGAAAGCGTATCCCGTGGATAAGCCGACCCCTTTCTACAGAATCTTTTTTTCTGGTCCTCAAAATTCGGCTTATACGCGGTCATATACGGTAACTATATTGGGAGAGTGGGATGAGCGACGAGACACACGCTTGTCACCCACATGATTCTCTTTAGATGTCACAACGGACTGAATCACTTTCCCTTTTTTACAGGAAGCAGATGATGATTTTACTGATGCTCTAGTGTTCTTTATAGTCAGGATCGTTGAACCATGCCTTAGAAAGTTTTTCAAACTTCTTCTTGGACAAAGGGTCGCAATAACGGCACCTTGATTTTTGTGTGCAAGTGCTTTTCTTGCATGATAGGCACCTAGGATGAGGGTCACCAGTGATTTGATGCTGCCCACAACCTGAACAGTCTGTTTTGAGGACGAAGTCCTCATCCCACAACACATTCTCTTAAGTAAGTAAGTGTTGAAAATTTATTAAAAATTTGTAGTGTGGTTCTCAGCATAAACAGGAATTTATGGCTATGATGTAAAAGAGGTAGGGTATTCACAAGAATTATGTATATTCACCAGAAGAAGAAGTGTATCTAAATACTTGACATATAATGAACTAGAGGACACAAGTAAGTTTTAGATTTAATTTATCTTAGTAAGCACGCCAGTCAAAATGAATAAGCTTACTTATTGTTATGGAATGCATGACAAGGTATGTTACTCTAACCTAATGACCTACAGAAACATCAATCAATAGCTCAATGAAAGATGCTCATTGGCCAAGTTTAAAAAAACCATCTCAACAGTTAAATTTCAGACACAATACAACCACAATTTTGATGCACGTACTAGAAATACTATGCTTAGTTGCAAGATAAGATGCCAAACAATGTGTAATACACACTAATGCTAAAATAGTACAATTTCTACATGGATTAGCAGTAAAGTCAAAAATTGAGAACAGGGAACAATTATGATATTTAACTCAAAATATATCATCCTTACAGACCAACATGTCATCCTATCATTCCTGGCAATGCACATCTGAGCCAGCTGATGACTTGAGTGAGTGAGTTTGATTTTACTCCACTTTTAGCAATATTCCAGCAATATCACGGTGGGGGACAACAGAAATTATACACTCCATCATTCGTGTACCATTATACATTACATCATTCGCATACCATTATTTACCTCACTCATGTACAATTATATATTATGTCATTCACGTACCATTATACACTCCATCATTCACGTACCATTATACATTTATGTCATTCACGTACCATGATGGCAGGAAAGACGACAAATACACGAAACAGACAAGATACCAACTGATCAATATTATAAGACACTTGTGTCTGACTATTACATGGGTACAGAATATAACATTTCACATTTTCAAGAGGATATGAACCTGTAAAGTAAAATACCGTAGGTCCGAGAGTATTTTTAAAATTATGTTCACAAGTTTTAGTTCTCTTGTCAGAAAATCATCGAGCAAACTTTCATCCATAGATCTATTACTCATGAAGTCATTCAAAGTCTAGCTAACTTTGAAGATTATGAGAATTTAATTCCAAGATGACAGACACCCTGTGAGTTTCAGTCCTGTATTCCGGTTATCCTCCAAACATGAACCGAGAAGATAAAAGTCAATGGGAGGAAGGCCATCACCCATCACATTGTCCTGAATATACCCCTCACACTTTGTCGCAATTAAGGGATTGTATACTAGGTGAGGGTTGTTCTAATATTAAATCAAGAATATTTAATATTATTAAGAATATCAAATAAACCGCATTTGAGCAGCAACTAGTCCCTGGCTAAGAGCCGTATATAAATGTGAAATAAAAAGGTATGATGATTTCTGTTTCTCAACAGCTAATATAAAACAAATGTAATGTCAGCACTGCTTTTACTTGTGTGAACAGACAGCCCTTCACAGAATCCACAGCCCCACAAAGCAAATTGTAGAGATACAGGGAAGAAGAGAAAGCAGGAATAGTTTCAGCATTAGTTACTCACGCTGAAGACTGTACTATCTTGTCATTTATTTGATGAAGCTTTTCATTTGTTTTCTGATACCTGCAATAACAGTGACACACTTGATAAAGACAACTCATCATAGATTTGGAAAATGTCAGTCAAAAAGTCAGAATCAGAAATTTGTTTACAACACTGCCAGAAGTTGCTCTGTCATTGCAAAATTGTCTTCACCAAACAACAATGAGGAGGTTAAACAGAGACAATAAAATTAGGTATTTCACAGGAGCAGCAACTACAACATGCTGGAAACAGATCTTTGTTCATGTTCTGTTTGTGCCTGCCAAATGCAAATTATATCATAAGAATTGGTCGTAGTATCTACATGTGCACTGATCTCATTCAGATAAATGTCTAAGACAAAATCAAAACCTGCTGATTGTGGGTACACAAGAAGACTATGTATTTTCAGATGGTTGCAAGTACCATTTACAAACATTCAAGAAGCACAGAAAGCACAGAAAGCAGGAAACTTGAAAAGGTAGTCAAATAACTATTGCTAAGGAACAACTACAAAACATGTCCCCAGATAATCAATTTTGGTTCAATATGAGAATGCCAATTTGTAAACACACACCCCACCAATTTGACCAATCACTGTCGATGCTCCCGTGCTCACAATAGCGAAAACTTTGTGTTGAGATAAAATAGTCGAACTACAACAAATATGAATTTCAGCAAGTCAATGTATGGCATTTGTTTTATATATATCCATTCTCTTTCCATAAAGTTTGTTTCAAGGCGTCAACATTGGTAATATGACCTTGACTGCTGTAAACAGAAACAAGAGCTGTGAGAGGTCTTGCTGCAGAAGAAGTTATTCCAAGTGATTGTGTGGCTGATCCCATCACACAGCTCCCATGTGACCATGGGAGTGATGATGTCACGTATCATCACATTACTGCTACATCGTAACATCTGAAGACATTGTGGGGAGGCACTTCGGCAACGGACAGGCCACTATAGACAAAGTAATGTAGGATAAGTATACAAATATAAAAATTATCTAGATTTTACTAGATTTTTTAACTTATCCTGCATTACTCCTTGATGCATCGGATGGTACGGCGGAGGGCAGTCCACAATGACATAAACTCTCCAAAAGTTTGAGTCAATCGGTGAGCGCATCACTTACATCTGTTACTACCTCCACCAATCCTACGAGAATATGAGGACGTCCTGGTAAAAAGCAGCAATAGAAATTAGTGTGCACTAAAGTCTAGAAACTGATTTACCAAGCCAAACGAGCCGCAGGTAGTGCATTCTTCCAGTATGGTTGTAATAGAGCAATTACTGTGTAGAGCCATTGTAGAGGCAACCGCCCCAATCACATGAGGATTGTAAGCTTGTGTTGGGTCAAGCTTGGCAAACTCATAGGCCTGAAGGATGATGGCGCACAATCATAATGATACAGCGTTGCGGCTGACTTCAATCATGAAGGGAGACGGGAATAAACAGGTATGTCCCAGCACCATGCAGTGTCTTGGAGCCACGGATGTAAATCCTTGCCGCCTTACCCAGGTCAATAAGGTGATCGCCTTTTTGGTGAGGTTTTAAAATAATGTAGCATGAAGAGGCTTGAATGGGGTAGCACGCAAACATCATAGTAGACATTCAAATAGGCAAAACTTGTCCTTCTGATCTTCATGACACAATGAACGACGGTAGTTCCAGGATCTTGATGATTATTTTATCTTCCTGAACTGCCAACACCAATTGACGGCAGCCAAAATAGGTAGTAATGGTGCTGCTTTTCAGGTGCCGCTTGCAACGCAGATAAGGGAGATATTCAGCCAAGATTTGAGGAGACACAATAGAGGGGTCATGATCCTTTCCTTAACAAAAGGTTCTGTTGGATCGACACCTATCAATCATACAGGTCCTGAGTCGAAGGTCATTGTGCCATAGCAATGGTCTTAACTGCCTGTGCGAGGTAGTGGATGGTTTCCTGCAAGACTACTGAGGTCTATGAACCACCTTCTCACAAGTCACCAAGGTGCGATCACAATGAGAGCGAGGCTCTTGGTTACCCTGATCACCCTCGGAAGAAGTACTGGTGGCGGAATAGGGTAAGATCTTAGCCCTTGCTACGGGATGCTGAATGCATCCATCGCCAAAGCCTTCTGGTCTGGGATTGGAGAGACAAAGGTGTGGTCTGGTAGTTCTGGCAAGTGGCGACGAGGGTAATGTTGGGATGACCTAGGTGTTGACACACAAGATGAAAGCCTTCCATTCCGAGGGAGCTACCCCTTCTGGCCTGGATTGCTTCCAAAATGTCCCGACATCCAGGAATGTGCTGGACCAGAACACGTAGGCCAAGCCGATCTAAACAGGAACGTCTGTTGAAGGATAGAGTTAGTCGGCCCTGATGGCACAGGCACCATACCACCGTGAGGTCATTGGTGGTTGATGAGTTGTTGATGTGCAAAGTGTGCTTCAGCAAACCCATGGCAAATCTCATGTAGATGAAGGGAGGTGCCTCGTTACACCGCCTGTAGTCATTGGATGTCGACGGAACAGTCGTGAGAAGAATGATAAAATTGACGCTGTATCTAGTCGATAAGGCTAAATGCATATAACTCCTTGGTCTGACAGATCATAATGTACAAAGTAAGAGGATCGTTTTCATCCCCTGAGCGTTGTATAAGCGGTCCTGTTCCAAAAAGAGGTGCCAGTGAGGAGTGGTGCCTCTTTACTGGGCGTGTTGGCATCGGAAGTCTACTGAAGTTTGTGACTGTCACATTCATGTACAGTGACAGGCATCTGATTGAGTGGTTGCAGCTTAACGTACAAGTAAGCATGCAAATCAGTCCATACAAATACACTGGATGGCTCCCAGTAAGTCAGCTGACCTAATTCTGTTTGGAGATGTTTACAGTCAGAGAGTTCTTGACATGTGACGCAGTAATCTGGAATCCCGCATTTTGTCAGAGACAAGGTTCAAGCTACACACATGGACAATCCCTTGTGGTGTTTCTGAGTTTCTGTGTAGAATGTGTTACATGGCCGGTGTACGGTCAAGTTGATCACCATGATAAGTGTGACGTCTGGTCCTGTCTTGTGAACGATTGGTACCCGGTAGCATATGACGATTCAGTCAAATGTCGAATCGGCCATGAATCTTTTGGTGCAGATCAAGCCAACTAGATGCCACAGGAAAGAAATTCTTCCACCCTCTCTGTGGAATCGTTTAGCCAATGTTGAAAACATAGAGAAAATTGGCAGAAAGTTTCACAGAACCCTAACTATGAGGCCAGGCGCTGCCATGGACTTGAAGAAAACATTCGACCTCCAATATATGAAAGCCAATCGTGTGTCCCTGGTGAGGGTTGTTGGCCCTGGGGGGAGGGGATCCAATCCGGTGGTCTCATAGCGTTTGTAGAATGAGAGAACGTAATCACAAGGAGATCGTGTTACGGCTAACTTCTGACTGCAAGGTCAACCCAGGTGTGTGTTATGTCCACCGCCTGCAAAGCATGGATGGGGAAATCATCCTTCCTCAACCAAGGAACCTTGAAAGCTGATGATAGGGCGAATATCACAATTCTTCGTCCAAAGTTGTGACTAGATCCTTCAGCATCGGGTCCGGCGGAATGGGGGGTAGGCTTGGACCAATAGTGTCTTGTTTATATAGGCGGATATCCAGGCTGGCGTCCGCTGGAACATGGACTGCTTCATTCGCAACCAGAATAGACCCATATAAGGAGCCTGGATGAGCTTTTTAGGTGCCAACTGGAAGGGTGGGGTTCGAATCCGGCAGGCACCGGTCCTGGGGACAGTTGGTACTCTTGGGCGAAGGTCAGCACTAGGGTATTCATAGAATCCAGGAGGCGAAGTAGTGTAGTTTCTCAGGAGCAAGGGCCGAAAATCAGAGGCGCTGAGGACGGCGCCGCCGATGATGCCCATAGCAGCTCCTCAGTAGCATTGCAGACATCTTCCCAAGGCAAGAGAGTTAACTGACTATAAAAGTCCAGTTTCCACCCTTGCCAAACTAGGCTGGGATTTGGAGTTACATTTTGGCTGGACTAACGAGTCTATGCATAGTCCAATCAAAGTCGAGCACTGAAATCGAACTCCAGTTCGTAAACTGTCATGCAGAGTTTGGTCGATTGCAGGATTTGCAAAGCATGTGCATCGCCAACTCGTTGTCAACAGATAATTTCCAAATCTTTTCATGTTTTTAATCAAGGTGCTCATGTGATTTGATGTACTTCGCAAAATAAGAACCGTTTTATCACAAAATAGATCTTGATGGTCGATCAGATCGTCTTGACTGGGTGCCACCATTTTGTTTGAAGCAAATGCATGTGATATGAGAGGTGAAATCTGATTGGTCCATATTGGAGAGGCATAGAATGGACATAACTCGTAATAGCCACTGGTGGCGTTAGATCGAGCCCAGGAATTCCAGCCTAGTTCGGCAAGGGTGGAAACTTGACTTGTAAAGTCAGTTAACTCTCTTGCCTCGGGAAGATGCATTGCAGAGGGCATTGAAGGCATGTGGTACGTTTGCGGGAAGGTGTGGGACCAGTGCCAGGGCGGTCATAGACATGTAGTCATCAGTGTGGTCATTGGCATCTGGAGTATTGTCGTACAGGTGAGGTGTTTGCCCGTCAATGTAGATAGAAGAGACAGCGGGGAGGCCGATCTTAGAGGGTAAGACGTTGTAGCAGTCTCAGAGGAGTAAGACATCTTTTTAGCTTGTCTACAAGCTTGCTGCGAATGGAGCTTCTGAGAGACCCTCAGGTTCTTGGAAAAGGCTGTGGGAGAGAGGGATATGCAAAAGCTACATTTGTAGCTGTCGAACATATATCTGTCTGTCTGTCAGGACACAAAGGGTGGGGGTTCCAGTTAGGCTTGTTACTAACAATAAATAATTAAAGATATCTTAAATTCATTTCTGATATCCATAATACAATTACTGATTTCTTAAAATGTTACGGTGAAATAAATTCAAGATATTTTAAATTCAATTCAAGATATCTTGAAAAAAGTTATACATCCACAAATGCATTACAGATATCATTTATTCATTTCAGATATCCTTAATTCAATTAGAGATATCTTTACTTCAATTCAAGATATTAATTCTGATTGTTACTGATATAAAAAATCCAATTAAAGATATTAATAATTTTGAAGATATCTTTATACCAATTATTGATATCTGTTATCTAATTTAAGTACCATGAAGGAATTACACAAATTATTCCAGTCCCCAAAATGGCGGGAAATGATTTACAGATATCTTCAAATACTTCCTGTCCGGCTACATATCCCACATTACTTAACAGACAGACGTATTTGATGATATCTGTAAATAAGCGGAAGTCTTTAATAATGTCAACAATTTAGTTTCAAGATATCAGGAATTGAATTGCCGATATCATAACAAAACGTGACATTTTGATATCTGCTCTGCTCCGGAAACAAGCATTACCGAAATTTTCAGTCTAAGTCAAAGTCGTTGCCAGGGAAACTCGAAAATCTTTTTTTTTTAAATCCCAAAGTTTCCAAAGGCACCAGTTTTTCACTAGACCTATATCTGTGCCAAGTTTGGTGAAGAAATATTGTACGTTTTTTAAGATCTGCTCCGGAAATGAGCACTACCACCATTTTCAGTCTAAGTCAAAGTCGTTGCCTGGGAAACTCAAAACATATTTTTTTCAAAAATCCCAAACTATCAAAAGGCACCAGTTTACCACTAGACCTATATATGTGCCAAGTTTGGTGAAGAAATATTGTACGGTTTTCAAGATCTGCTCCAGAAACAAGGGCTACCGCCATTTTCAGTCTAAGTCAAAGCCGTTGCCATGGAAACTCGAATTTTTTTTTTTTAAACATCCCCAACTATCAAAAGGCACCACTTCACCACTAGACCTACCTATGTGCCAAGTTTGGTTAAGATATCTCTCATGGTTTTTGTATTCTGCTCCAGAAACGAAACGTGATGGACGGACGGACGGACGGCACCCATTCCTATATCCCCCTTCCACTTCGTGGCAGGGGATAATAAAACACTTTAAAAATCATAGGGAAGGATAGGTACAACAATGTACAAGAAGTACCAAGCAACACAAAGAATACAAAATGCATGACACGAAAAAACTTGAACACAAATTTAATTCAAAATGGCTAATTGTAACAACAATACACCTGATACTTACCGTGACAAAAAGTCACCCTCAAGCATTAAATATTAATGCTACGGTAAAGATCATATGTAATATATGAAGACACAAACAAATAGGGAAGATACAATTCACGTAAAACAATAGTTTTATAATAACACGCAAAGGATTGTAATGGATAAAGCTGAGAGTACAAAACTCTCTGAGTGACAGCAGTTGTGTGATGATACGCGACTTCATCACTTCTGTGGTCACATGGGAGCTATAGTCTGGAAGGTAATTTAATATAAGGTACCAACTTTTACTACAATATCTGAAAAACTATCGGACCTACTCCAGTCAAAGTTGGTATGAGCCCAACGCTAACACCGTATTCGTGCGTGCGAGATTCCCGTGCACCCTTTCAAGTTGAGTTGATTGGTTCAACTGTGTCATATGGCCCTGTGACGCAGGGGTAGCATTATGCAGATGGCTGTTTCAATGAATGCTCGTTCCATCCATGACGAACAGGTCTGGCTGTTGATGAAATATAGTGATAGCTAAATAGACAGATTTTTTATTCATGCACCGATTGTCTTTAAATGTAATATCCAGTTATGTATGAGTGTTTAATAATCTCATACCAACTTTGACTGGAGTGGGTCCGATAGTTTTTCAGATATTGTAGTAAACGTCGGTACCTTAAATTACCTTCCAGACTATATGTGATGGGATCAGCCACACAACCAGTTGGAACAACTTCTTCAACAAAACCTCACACAGCTCTTTCTCTGTCAAGAACAAGCAGTATATGCATTAAAGAGTCATGCAGGATAAACAAGAGTTTGCCACAAACCCTAACCTTTTTTAACCGAGGTTGAACTTGTCATGGAAATTGTAAAAAAAAGATGAGTTTGGAACCTCAGTCCATCTTGTTGCCATGGAAACGTAAAAAAAAAAATTCTAAAATTTCTTAATAGCAAAAGGCACCAGTTCAGCATGTACCTGACAGACCTGCAAAGTTTGATGAAAATATATTGAACGGTTTCTGTGTTATGCTCCGAAACGAACCCTACCCTCACAGAACCTAAAGCCATCTTGTTGCCATGGAAACGTAAAAAATAAAAAATTCTAAAATTTCTAAATAGCAAAAGGCACCAGTTCAGCATGTACCTGACAGACCTGCAAAGTTTGATGAAAAAATATTGAACGGTTTATGAGTTATGCTCCGGTAACGAAACGTGACAGACGTACTTACGGACGGACGGAGCCCGTTTCTATACGGGCGGGGGATAATTAAAAAATTAATGATTTGAACAACATATGACATCACCATAAGGACAAATATGCCAAAGTAAAGCATAAAGGTTTTTCAATATGATTGCCATGGCAGCCATATTGAAAATTGGATTTGAAGCTCTTGGAACAGATTCAGGTGTCATCATTGGTGCAAAGAAGCATGTGAAGTTACAGCTTCAATTGGACAGTGGTTTCTAGGGAGATGGTGTAAATAATGTAAGGAAATGTATTTTGAGACAATTTAGGAGCATGGTCACAATGTGAAGGTCAAATCAATGTAAAACAGACTATACTTGTTGAGCCCCACTACAAACTAATCAAGTACCAAATTTCATTACATTTTGAACAGAAATGGCTGAGTAATTACAAACCTCTCATGGTCATTACTCCACCATTGAGTTGAAAATGTAATGAAATCTGGTACTTTTGTAGTTTGTAGTGGGGCTCAACATGCAAAGGTCAAATTAATGTCAAAATTCTAAATATATCAACAAATGGAACATATATTTGAGATTTGACTTGTTATGTGTCATCTACAACGTGATGCTATAAGCATGCTTCAAACTGGTAGAACAATGTGTTTCAGTCTGTGATTTGCTGACTTTGGAACAGGTTTCTGCTGTATCTTTCTGTTTATGATCAGCCCCTCACAGGGCTACCTTCGTCACCAACACAAGTTCAGGATCAATTAATCACAAACCAAGCTTCAAGAATTTGAGCACAAACAGCCAATCAAATTGCTGTTTACTTGTGCCCCAGGAGTTCAATTTAATGACCAGGGCCCCGTTGCACAGAGCGATCTTAGCGCTAAGACTATCGTAAGCCTATGTTAAAGTATGGGTGTTACGATCATCTTAGCGCTAAGATCGCTTTGTGCAAGTGGGCCCAGATGATTAGGAAATGCAATAAGACATGATTCTACAGTACTCATCATTGCTCATTTCTACCTATGAATACTATTTATATGTCAATAACATGTATCTTGTGATATTTCCCCAATTCTCGGAAGGTGGTCCTGAAGTTTGACATGCGGGTCTGCCATATATAATGGTCTTTTAATGTGTTAAGTGTAAAGTATCCCAACATTGTGACATAGACTTCTTTCACATTAACCTTAACTGTGAACTGCTACCAAGATGGCAGCCACACAGGTCAGGCAACTGATCAGATCAATGTGAAGCCAACTGTCAACCACATGACAACTACTTACGAATCTGAAGATCTTATCTGCTGAATGCCAGAGCTCACATCTGTCTTGAATTCCTGGAAAGGTGTGATGCCCATCTTCCTCTTCAGTTCTGAGGCATGACGGACCTTGGTTCCTAGCACCTGCTTCAGTGTGGCGATCTCACCCTCAACCTGACACAGAGTGTTACATACTCAAAATATATTTTTCAAATCTAACCATGCTAGCCTTCCTTCATAATTCATAATAGAAATCCTTGTTTTCAGTACATCCTAAGTTTTTTGGTTTTGGTTTGTTGTTTTACGCCGCACTCAGCAATATCCTAACTATATGACGGCGGTCTGTAAATAATCGAGTCTGGACCAGACAATCCAGTGATTTACATCATGAACATCGATCCACGCAATTGGAATCGATGACATGCATCAACCAAGTCAGCGAGGCTGACCACCCGATCCCGTTAGTCGCCTTTTACGACATCCTAAGTACACACAATAACATGCACATGATCCTATACAGAAAGATTACACGTGAAACTATCTGTACTTTTTGGAATGAGCAAGGCAGGAAACTTCCAAGAGACTCTCCAACCATCCAATGCCAACTGAGCTCAACATCTCAGCCAAGTTTACCCAACCTACCACCCCACACCTCACCCAACATCTCACCCAGGTGTCCCCCACCCACACCAACACCTCACCCCACCTAACACCCCATACCGAGCTCAACACCTCACCCACGTGTCCCCCACCCACCCACCACCCCACACCTCACCAAAGTGTCCCACACCAGCACCTCACTCAACATCTCACCCACCTACCACCCCACACCGAGCTCAACACCTCACCCAAGTGTCCCGCACCGAGCTCAACACCTCACCCAAGTGTCCCCATCTACCACCCCATACCGAGCTCAACACCTCACCCAAGTGTTCCCCACCCACAATCCCATACCAAGCTCAACACCTCACCCAAGTGTCCCCACCTACCACCCCATACCTAGCTCAACACCTCACACAAGTGTTCCCCACCTACCACCCCACACCTCACCCAAGTGTCCCCCACCCACACTTCACCCAAGTGTCCCCCACCAAGCTCAACACCTCACCCAAGTGTCCCCACCTACCACCCCATACCTAGCTCAACACCTCACACAAGTGTTCCCCACCTACCACCCCACACCTCACCCAACATCTCAACCAAGTGTCCCCCACCCACACTTCACCCAAGTGTCCCATACAGAGCTCAACACCTCACCCAAGTGTCCCCCACCTACCACCCCACCCCCAGCTCAACACCTCACCCAAGTGTTCCCCACCCACCATCCCACCCCCAGCTCAACCCCTCACCCAAGTGTTCCCCATCCACCATCCCACCCCCAGCTCAACACCTCACCCAAGTGTTCCCCATCCACCATCCCACACCAAGCTCGACACCTCACCTAAGTTTTCCCCACCCACTATCCCACACCGAGCTCAACACCTCACCCAAGTTTTCCCCACCCACTGCACCATACCGAGCTCAACACCTCACCCAAGTGTCCCCCACCTACCACCCAACACCGAGCTCAACACCTCACACAAGTGTTCCCCACCAACAATCCAATACTGAGCTCAACACCTCACCCTAGTGTCCCCCACCTACCACCCAACACCGAGCTCAACACCTCACCCAAGTGTTCCCCACCCACAATCCCATACCAAGCTCAACACCTCACCCAAGTGTCCCCACCTACCACCCCATACTGAGCTCAACACCTCACACAAGTGTTCCCCACCTACCACCCCACACCTCACCCAACTGTCCCTCAACCACATCTCACCCAAATGTCCCCCACCGAGCTCAACAGCTCACCCAAGTGTCCCCACCTACTTCCCCATACTGAGCTCAACACCTCACCCAAGTTTTCCCCACCTATCACCCCATACCTAGCTCAACACCTCACACAAGTGTCCCCCGCCTACCATCCCATACCTAGCTCAACACCTCACACAAGTGTTCCCCACCCATCATCCCACCCCCAGCTCAACACCTCACCCAAGTGTTCCCACCTACCACCCAACACCGAGCTCAACACCTCACACAAGTGTCCCCACCTACTTCCCCATACTGAGCTCAACACCTTAACCGTGTCCCAACTTACCACCCCACACCGAGCTCAACACCTCACACAAGTGTTTCCAACATACCACCCAACACTGAGCTCAACACCTCACACAAGTGTCCCCACCTACCACCCCACACCTCACCCAACATCTCACCCAAGTGTCCCCCACCGAGCTAAACACCTCAGACAAGTGTCCCCACCTACCACCCCATACCGAGCTCAACACCTCACCCAAGTGTATCCCAAACCAAGCTCAAATCTCATCCAAGTGTTGCCCACCCACTATCCCACACCGAGCTCAACACCTCACCCAAGTGTTCCCCACCCACTATCCCACACCGAGCTCAACACCTCACTTAAGTTTTCCCCACCCACTGCACCATACCGAGCTCAACACCTCACCCAAGTGTTCCCCACCCACTATCCCACACCGAGCTCAACACCTCACACAAGTGTTCCCCACCCACTATCCCACACCGAGCTCAACACCTCATCCAAGTGTTCCCCATCCACCATCCCACACCGAGCTCAACACCTCATCCAAGTGTTCCCCACCCACTATCCCACACCAAGCTCAAATCTCATCCAAGTGTTGCCCACCCACCATCCCACACCGAGCTCAACACCTCACCCAAGTGTCCCTGATATGCTGAGATTGACTACAGCACCTTGAGCAACTCCTCCCTCCATTCGAGCATCTGCCTCTCCCTCTCCAGAGGGTCCTGGTACACAGGCGTGGTGGCATCAGACTGGGCAGCAGCCTCATAAGTGGGTGAGGACAGACTATCATCATCTACAAACAAGCAAGTAATTGTTGTTTATATGTCTATCCAAACTACAGGAACAGTTTGGTCTGCATTGCCAGTTGATGTAGAACACATCTAATGTTACTATGAATGATAAGCAGCAATGAGATAATGCTATTTAATTTGTTTCTGTGGTTTCAGCTGATACGGAATGTTGCTTACAATCATCTCTGGTTACCACGGTTACATGGTTAGGATATAGATATATACATACTGTCACACAACCAAGCACAATGCTGATAAATCTGGCAGTGAATAAGTTTCAGTTTTATTTGGAGACATGGTCAAAAGGAATTGCATAATCTTGTGAAACAAAGAAGACAACTGTAAGTTAATGTTTTCATTACACCAAAAGATCTTGTGTGGATGAAGGAGTTTTGACAGGCAAGACTATCTGGACTATTCAGCAAAATTGTCTGACTGTAACATGTACTGTAGCCACATGTCAAATAATGAATAGAACAGGGCAACTCAACGATCCGACAGTGCTCGAAACAGCTGTCTGCAAACAACAATTACCAAAATAGCATACCAAAACTTAAACCGCTTTTACAATTAACATTCCATGTATGGTACATTCACCATCCTGACCAAATGACATTAGTCACACATTATCCTAACATAACTGATTGAAGTGGCACTACGTTTCAATGTGGTATGTATTCCTGTACGTGCCCATGAGCTATTCCTATCTAGCTAAAGCAGTTGTACTGGTTCTACACAGTGCCCTTGGCCAACATACCTCAGTGTGTGTGCTAGTGCACTCGACCAAGCTATCATCTAAGTATGAATCATGGGCATATGCTTTCTGATACTGTTATCATCCGTCACAAAATGTCTCGCATAACTGTCATATTGGGTGCTCTGACAAGACATCTTCAATTGATAACACACACTGCACATGCTGATCAACCTTCTCCAGTTCACAATCCTTCATATTAAATTAATTGGTCAGTTTTTGTGTCCATGTGTCTATGTGTTTTCCATAACTGATATCTCCATAACCAACTGTGTACCATATTATGTGTCACTGTCCATTAAAAGTAAGAGGCCCCATGTGAACATATTTTCCAGTATTTGCATAAATAAGACTAAGCGCAACGATAACAATAAAACAGCTTGACCAATCAGACAATATTATTAAGTATTGAAATTGAAACTCGCTGCTATTGATGTTCATCTTTTATCATCTGTTGTGTCTAAAAGTTCAGGACAAGGACTTTTGATTTGGAGCATTAATTTGCAAAGTATCATTATCAACACAATTATTCCAAAACATCCCTTCAACTAATAGTCTATACCAAGGAAACTAATGACGGCAAGATCAAAGATTACCATTAGCTTATTACAGAGGTAGGTGTGAGAAAGTTGTGAGCACACTGGTGCCTACATGTCATAATGGCTGACATTCACCACCCAAGACAATAATCACTGTAATACCATAACAATTGACTATGGTCTGCCACTATGTCCTTGTTTCTCCATCATGCTCAGCAAGAACCTTGTTACGATGTAATAGACCACTTACGTCCAACATGTTTCTTTCCAGAAACCTTCGAACCATGTTAGTGTATTTGTCTGCCATGGACATTAATTATTACACATTACATGTACTTCAAGAGACATAAGTAAATAAACATGTGTCACCCATGTGCTGAGACTTCAAGCATCAAATGCCTGATCCTGCTGCTATCTCCCAATAGATGTTACAAGGCATGACAGCATCATGTTAAAAAGTACATTGTTTTAACATTGTTTCCTCACCTCTACCATTAGAACGTAGCTCTGCATCAAAGTCCTCCTCATAGATCGAGTCTGAGTGGAAAAGCTGCAGGAATTTGTGGTAGTTAGTGTCAGAGCTGATCACTGGTCGATAGTCCTCCTCCCCATCCCCACTACTCTCAACATCAGCCTCATTCAGGGCAGAGTCCCCCATTGGCAGGATAATACTAACTTACTGTCTTCAGTCAGTCTGTATATACAGATTGCTGTACCCAATAACAGTTTCTGTAATACAGTTGTAGAAAGCACTACTCAGATATATATGTATGTACACTTTCTTGCAGGGATAACCAATGCTATGAATACATGATCAGACTGTGTTAATAGAGCTGATTAACTTTGGATTTCTGTACATAAATAACATATAGGGCAGGGTCAAATGATACAACGTTCACGACACCATGGTTTGACAATAGTTGAGAAATGACTCTGTATAGTCTTCAGCAGCAAGATGGAAACATCATCAGTAGACACATAATTTGGAGATGAGATGGTGTTCACATATGCCAGTGTGTCAGATGAATTGTAATGATCAATAATATTGACACTATTAATCAATCATTTCCTGGGAAGTTGACTCTGAACAGAGAAACAAACTTTGACACAATGATGAACAAGATCTGAAATCCATTAATTCAATCCAGCAAATAAATCCTTCACAATGGGCACAGGTGTGCCGGTCATAACACATTCAATACATCGGATCACAAGAAGGGACAAGCACAGTTCCAGACTATTTCCCTGTTACTGATCCACTTGAATAAAGCCTGGTTGTTAATCTTTCCGTCAGCACATCATCAGCATGTGATTGTTGGTGAATCTGTTCACTTCAACCAGGTAAGACCTCGTAAAACACTGAGCGGACAATACCGGGACAAGCAGCAAGCTGCTGGCAATCCAAACAGCAGGCGAGCCAGAACACAAATGTATTGACCCGTAGCTTTGATAAAGGTAGTGCAGCGTGAGCCACGTTGACTGGGAGAGTGATTGTGACCCCTTGCCACACACCTGGCAGTTTTACCAGTCGATGATGTCATCCAACCCAGGGTCAAAGGTCAGACAGTGTACACGCCTTTAGGTGTAGCTGAGATTAGAGTCCTGTCATATTACACCATCTGTACTGCAGTCTCTATTGTTCTGTGTCCTGCTCACAACAAACCTGCAGCACAAGGGCATAATCCATCACCAAGATGAATTGTCACTCATTGTGAAGTATCTGCCTGTCAGTATAACACACACATCAAATCTAGTAACCATTACGAAACCCTGTAGCTTGTTCACTTTACATGCACATGATTTTCTTGATATCTATTCAATCTATTATGACTTGTCTATAAGAAACATGAGCTTAAATTAGAAGAGACAGTAGATCTTTAAACAGGATAGGAAGCAATACTTACAAAGAGTATAACAAGCAAACTAACTTGCATCTTATGCTCATAACACAAGTCAATATCAGTGTACCAAATGAAGGGGACTTCTGGGGTCACTGAGGTCTTCTGCTATGGTATTTTAATCTAGCCCCCCTATATCTATAGCTTTTAACATTGGGGAGTATTTCTAACACACTACAAGTATAGAATTGGTGTGTTGGCAGGTATGTGCACCATTAAGACAAGACCGCTTATTTCTTGGAGTACAATTTCTTTCATAAAACAAGAGACGAAATCATGTGAATATGTTGCCATGTGAGCGAAGTTGGTTAAACTTGCCTTCTCAAACTTGCAAACCTGATGTACATGATGTATGCACAATTTTGTTGTTTGCAATACTGCTTGTCAGACACTAGTTTGTCTGAATTTTGTTTGTTCAAAAAGTAGTGAATATGCATGGAGAAAGAAAGGGAAACTCCAGAAAGAAAAAGATTACGTCATCAATTTTTTAGCTTAGTCTTGGCAAGTTCTCTAGAACTTTTTGTGAGTGGCCTAACTGCAAGCACTTAAAAAATGATTAAACCCACTGCGAGGAAGTAGGCTGGTTCAGGTGTTATTGTGGTTTGTGTTATTTTTCACCATTCACCATATACCTTGTACGAGTTCGTTTGTCAAGTGTTATACAGCTGAATTAGGTATTTATGGTAATAGTTCTCAAACCCTGGGTAGAACTTTTTGTAGAAAAACAAATCGCATGACAATTTCAGTACTGTGTTAATATGGGTATAAAGCATAAAAATTATGGATATATGATTAAAAAATGAACACATTTAAAACAACAAGTATTCTACGATTAAAATCCAGGAAAATGAAACATACTTTGAATGAAGTGGGACTTACATACCCTCTCAAGGGGACAACTATTTTATGATACTTCAATCACCGAAAAGCCTGAGGACTAAAGTCTCTTCCCAATGTGTTTTAACTAACTTATGAACTGTTGATATGCAAGAAATATAAGAGAGAATATGATTTGTTTATTTGTTTGTTAGTTCTTAACACCGCACTCAGCAATATTCCAGCTATATGACGGCAGTCTGTAAATAATTAAGACTGAACCAGACAATCCAGTGATTGACATCATGAGAGAATAAGAAAACATTGGGATACCTCATAGTGAAACAATAACATTGTCATGGTATGAAACAAATTTCATGACAGCAGGCAAGAGAAAGACCACATGCACTATGATGCAGCAAGCAGACAAGTGAACAATGCTGAAGTCAGTCATATGTAAGACTGTACATCCTTTCATCACCTGCCCAGGTGGCTCAGTGAGAAAACAGTGGGTTGCAATATTAAACATTATGTCAGGCTGTAGGTTCGATTAACATCATGGAATTTTCATGTGAAAAGTGAAAAAAATTGTGACTTTTAACCAGTAAAACATCAACAATCGATGCATATTAAAAGGCTGTTAATACAATTCAACTGCAAGATCTAGGTCTTACAATTCAAACGTAAAACCTCTCAGCAGGTCTCAATTGAATGTAGAACCTTTCACAAGGAAATTGTGAGATAGGGGCATTAGGTTAAAGCATTCGCTCGTCACACAGAAGACCTGGGTTTGATTCCCCACATAGGTACAACAAAACCAACGTTGACAAGTTCCTCAGAGATAGCATCCACATTAACATGACAGTCACATTGCCATTTGGCACTTCTTGTACAATGTCCACACACAGATTGTAGCATCTCAGACAAAACTTTTGAAGCAAGAACACTTTCATCATCAAATATCAGAACTAAAGAGTCATTATTCATAATTTAGTGACAGTCACTGTCCCGTCTTCATTTTCCAAATGATTGGATCTTTCAAAGTGTTTCTTTAGATGTCTGTGATTAATCAGCTGAGATCTACCATGCCCCTGACAAGGACGAATCTTGCATGTAGTTTGTCCAGTTTTAGTTTCCACTTTGAAAGTCCCTTCCCATCCTTCAGACACAATTTTCTTGCTGGTTTTAGTTTTAGGTTTAGGGTGGTATACCCAAACCTTCTCCTTTTTTTTGGAGTGAAAAGTGAAGCCGACCTTCTCCCATCGAGCTTCATTTCATTCACCTTGTTCCTTCATAACCTTCTCTTTAACTCTCTGCTGCAGAAATCTTGATGTGTTTGGCAGCACCGCAAAAGCACAACCATTTTGTCATGTGCATGTTTCCCAAATACCACTCTACAAGATCTGTTGGAGTTGTTTCAATAGCAGATAAAGCTGCAGGTAATTTCTGATCCCAGTCATTCTGATCTTGAGCTTCTGTCAGCATTGAAATTCTTTCTGCTAATATCCTATTCATCCGCTCTACTTGTCCATTACATTGGGGATTGTATGGGGTTGACCAAAACTGCTTCAAAATAAGTACTTGGCGGAGTTCTTGCAAAAGTTTGGACCTTCTAAAGGTTTAGCCCCTCTGGAGGTCCATACCTACACACAAGGGCATGATGGGTGCATTATCAAAATTGTCCCTGTTTGCTTGAAATTCAAATATTGCAGCAAAAGGTTGGGAAACTTGGAATCAAGTTTACTAACCACACCATATTTTGCAATCCGTAGACAGATATAACATATGAAAGACACAGTGTTAAAACTGATATGATTGGGATGATGACAGTTATTATGTTGATTTTGAGCACTCAGTAATCATGACTGATATCTTAATTCCCTATGACGTAAATTGTGAAATCTTGTAGCAAGATACACTGGTGAAACAATGCCCTCTGACGAAAGCCAAACAACAAGGTTGCTGAGGGTCATTGAGTGTGCATAAGCTCCTCTCAGTGATCTATAGTCTCTACATGCAATGTCATTGAATAAGCCCAGTGATGTTGAGTTTTTAATATATGTTTACTAAAAATAATGTTTATGAAACCATTTTTATATTTAACATATTTTTGCTTTTGGTGTCAACTTAATTCATTGAACTAAAGGGGTATTATCAATGGAAAATAATATACACACTATAATTATTTATTATTATATTTTCGATTTAGTGTTTTTCTTTGTAATGTTTATTATGCACAGTAATGCAATTTATCATGTTGTTGATTAGGTATTTATTTACTGACGCTGCACAAATCCAAATATTGTAGGTTCAAACAATATTTATCTACAGTGGGCCATATTTCGCAATGAATGAATTAGGTTTGTAATGACAAGGATGGATAATCCCCTTCTCATGCATTTGAAAGAAATGGAGGCGAAACATCGAAACATGCAAATTGCCAGGTATTCTACTTTCTAGTTCCTTTTATTGCTTTCAAACTTTCAGTTGCATTTATTCTTCACACAAAAACATTGAGTGAGCAGGATGAAATGGTTTGAATCAATTATTTTGGCTACAAGAAACTGTCGTGGATCTTCCACCAGAGCCACTAATACCGTATTCGACGTAATAAGCGCCCCGTTCTAATAAGCGCCCACGGCTAATATATTGGGTAGAGAACAATCCCAATTAGCACCCCTTCTGATTGATCAATGTACACAAGACTTATCTATTTGTGTATAATACGTGTGTTATATGCATCCTTAATTGTGGGAAATTAAATTCTGGAAAAATATATCTGTCGTATATAAACATTTCAGGCTGTCAGCATAAACCACGCAATTTACCATCTTTCAACTATGTTTTTTCTCTCACCAAAATTATATTCTAATAAGAGCCCCCTATTTCTAATTTTGAGAGCGCTCTGAGCGCTTATTACGTCGAATACGGTACTCACAACATTCTTCATTGTTACACCTCTATTAAGAATCTTGCAATTTCATTGGTTAATCTGTACAAGACGAAACAATACATTTCAATGTAGACCCCCAAATCATGAACACCAAACACACAATAGATATGTGTACCCTACTCACACACAGGAGTCCCAAAGAGGGACAGGTCAGTCGAAATTGCTTAGGCAGAAGGCTACCTCTTAAACACTTTATGCAACAACATAATCATGTTTCCGACACTGACCTCGAAAATATAATAATTGACTCGTCACATGATCAGTATTGACCTGTCACATGATGAATATGGACTCGTCTGCAACACAACAAGATTGCGTCTGATACAAACACTTCACGGTTCGCAGCTAATTACTGTAATGAAACAGAGGACAGTGAAAGGCTTCATAAACTTTAAAGTGACTTTTGGTGTAACAAAACGAATGATTACTCGGATCCTTGTTTTCCTCTCAAGCATCAGTGGATTTATATCTAAAGAAAATGTTCTGTGTCAGCTTTACAGGAGAATCCTCATCCAATCTTACATTAATCCAATCACACACCAAATAGCACCGCTTATAAGTGCTGAGTAGAGTACTTCAGCTAAAACAATACGTGTGCGCTGGCTCATGTCGGCCTTTGATGCAGTCGCAAAGAACATAGACACCATGTTGGGTGGCGTCTGTATGGACTTGCAGGTGTGATCAGTGATGACATAAGTGAGTAGGACTCTTGTCTTGACCCCGCAGTGACAATTTACAGGATGTAATTAGTGTTTGAATGACATTGTTTATATACTTGTAACAAGTGCTTCTCATAAACAGTGATGTGGAATACATAGTT